TTTCTTTCTTTCTTTCTTTCTTTCTTTCTTTCTTTCTTTCTTTCTTTCTTTCTTAAGGTTTGGCATTTTTTTAAGGAATTAACATTGTAGAGGTAATTACAGGGAATATTTTTTAGAACTTTGAGTTATGTATGGCAAAAATTTCAATTTTATGGTCTATAGTTTCTCTCTGTAAAGGTACATATTATTTTTCATTTTGATATCTTCACTTCCTCCCATGTGAGACCTTTGCTTTGGTTCTGTTTGTCTATTGTTGTTCTCTAAATATACATTGCTGTTTCTATTCTGGCACTGACATGCATTGTTGCATTTATTATTTCATTTATCATTTGAACACCTTTGTTTTTAAACACTATACAAAGTTCTGGAGTTATAGTGGTAAATAAGAGAGCTCTGTATCTCATGGTCATGGACTTTGCAAATTACAATACTAATATGATATATAGTAGTGGCTGAGTTTTAGAATTAGACAGACATGGGTTCAAATACTTATTTTGCCATCTAATAGGAGTAGGACCTTGGGTGTGTTATTTAACATCTCTACACCTTAGTTATCTCATCTCATCCTTTATTAGGAAAATACTAAATACTCCTACTTTGTAGCATTTCTATGTAAAGTCCTTGTGTTAATATTTGTCAACTACTTTGCACAGTCCTTGGCATACAGCAAGTGCTCAATAATGGTATGGTGATTATCGTTAATACTGTACCTCCTACCACAGAAATCATCACATGAAAAACATCTTTGGGTATTTTGTCACAGCCCACATCACATCATTTTCCTAAAGCCATAGTACAAGAAGATTCAAGATTTAAAAGCATGTGTTTCAGTTATTGAACTAGATTTGTTGAAAGAGATAAAAGTAATTCAGTATTCTCTAGTTGAAGGATTAAATGTGGCCTCTATTGATGTTAGTAATATTTAAGTAAGCAACTTTTAATTCTATGTATATTACATTTTAGATCTAGTTTTATAAAATTGTTTCTTAGCTTCAGAATAACAAATAATGTTGTTTTATGTGCAGTGACTTAGCTGGACACTGCTTTCCATTTTATTGTTTTGACATCTTGTGCTTAAGTAAGGCTTGCTAAATGAAATATTATTCATAGCATGGTAGTAAAGACTTTACATTCTTCTTATATACATTCTCTGGACTTTGCAAATGGCATAACTCAGTTCTCTGACCTCTCAGTACTAAAACGGGTTACTGAACTATTTTATTTACCTTTTGCAATTTCAAAGACCAATAATTAGAAATGTCTTCGTTTTAAAACTTGTTGAATCTGAGGGCTGATTCTAGGAATCTTTAGATTCATTGGCAACTTTGATGAATGATACCTGAAGTGGAAAACTGCTCAAAGTGCTCAGATGGAGTTTGGACCCATCATTTTCATTTTGTAATAACAGAAATGGAGGGGGATGGGATGAAACTATACTTGGACTTAGTATTTGTATCCCAGATTTTGTTTTGAAGGTAAGAGAATAATAGAATTCATAGGATAAACTCCAAGCCAAAAGGCAAAAGTATTTGAGATGAATCAAGTATGACAAGAAAGTATTTATGTGTGTTTGATGTTGGGGTGGGAAAAAGGAGCTCTGCCATTCAGTAGGTTAATCTTCTGTTCTTTCTTCTTCTTTCTCTTTCCAAAATACAATCACAGCTTTGAATTCTTATGCCTGACAAATGGCCTAGCTGAAATATTTCATAGAAGAGAGAGCAAGATTTAGACTAGTATTGTATTAGTTAATTTTTGCTAAACTGAAAATTTTCAGTATGTTTAATTTGCTGATCTTTATCGAGTAGGACAAATATAAAACTTTAGGAAAGAAACTTGTAACACTATTTTTTTTTAAATTTTTTTTTTCAACGTTTATTTATTTTTGGGACAGAGAGAGACAGAGCATGAACAGGGGAGGGGCAGAGAGAGAGGGAGACACAGAATCGGAAACAGGCTCCAGGCTCTGAGCCATCAGCCCAGAGCCCGACACGGGGCTCGAACTCACGGACCGTGAGATCGTGACCTGGCTGAAGTCGGACGCCTAACCGACTGCGCCACCCAGGCGCCCCGAAACTTGTAACACTATTAAATATAATAGCTTAGAAAGAGTGATAATAGTGAGAAATAAAAACATTAAAAAATTAAAATGGGTGATGACAGCAGGATTTGGGGTTAGTACAGGGAAGGTCAGTGGAACCCCAAAATATTCATGTGAAAACTAAACACAGATACATTGTTAATCTTCACAAGGACTGCTTTGGTTGGAGGGTTAGGACATACATCCCATTTATATGAATTGAAGGGAGAACTGGAGGAGATTAAGTAAAAACAGTAAGTATTGATAACTCATAGGGATCGTTGCTATAAAGATGGTAAAGTAATAGGGGATAGCTGAAGAGAGTTGTACGTTTAAGGAAGAGGATTTGGGGTATTGTTTTGTTTTTTAACTCTGGGAAAAATTAGAACTTACTTGCTTGTGGATGGATGTGGTACACTAAAAAGGGAAAGTTAGTCTCATAGGGCAGTTGGAGGCAGTTTCTCCAGCATTGATTTTATGTTGGCAAGAAATGATGGCAGCCACGGTGTAAGTTTAAGGTTTATTTTCAGATAAGAACATGGACAATTCATCCATGGTAATGTGTGGGAGGGCAGAATACATGAAAATAAATACAGGTAGATTATTGACCTAATGGTAAGAGAAGTAGAGGTTTTCTTCTAATTGCTTCAATTTTCTAATGAATTTTCCAGGTCTCCAACTGACAGTATCTGAAAGAGGGAAAGAGGAAATGGACTAGGGCAATGCAAAGGAAAGAGCTTCAGAAAACCATGTATTTCAAGAAAAAAACCTGTCCTGCTTTATATATTACCCCCTTGGCTCTTGAAGTTATTATTTGGGTCCTGATTATATTCTTCTCTTTTGGAAAATTGCTTCTCTCTTATCTCTCAGCTCCTTTTTTTTTTTTTTTTTTTTTGGCGGGGAGAGGGGGGAAATAAAAAACAACTCTTCCTTTGGACAGAGTTAGATATCTGTTTTATCCTAATAAAAGAGAAGTGGGTGACAAAGTATTTTTGACAGTCTTCTATATCCAGATATATCCAATCACTAAGTTGTATTTATTCTTATTAACTGCAGTGCCAGAAACTAAAGAATAGGACTATTGGTATTCTGGATTTCTTTTTTTTTTTTTCTTTTAAAAAATATATCATAATTTTTTTCTTCTTCTTTTAGATGTTCTTAATAGTTGCTCCTCTTTCTGTACTCTACAACTGGAGAGATGAATTGGACACCTGGGGATATTTCAGAGTTACTGTTTTACATGGTAACAAAAAAGACTATGAACTGATTCGTGTAAAGCAGAGGAAATGTGAAATTGCTCTAACAACTTATGAAACACTGCGCTTATGTCTGGATGAACTGAACAGGTAATGGGAATAATGAGAATGATTACATTAATATTCTGTTTACATCCCTTTATATTGTGATTTTCAAAAAAGCTCCAAATATCCATAGCATAATTTAATTTCATTTAAGAATTATTGAATTAACTTATAATAACTTATTTTCTAAGAAGGAAAAACCTTCAGATTTTATACAGTCCATTGTATTTCCTTTATTCCCTCTCCAAACAATGCCTGTTACAGAAGGATAAAACTGTCCTAAATCTCACGTACAACCTTTTATGCATATGGCACCTCTAGACTAAGATGGTGATTTTCATGAATGATTTTAATTATGGGAGTTTGTTGTGAATGTAGATTGGCAAAAAATACATATACATATTGAGAATCAGTATTCCAGGACTAGAAGTACCCAAAAGAAATGAACTGACTTAATGCCTACGTGCATCTTAAGATTTTAATGAGGCATCTAGAGACATAATTATAAAGGCATATGAGTGTTGCAGTATGTAAGAAAGGATGCCGTGGGAGCATCCTTCGTAAGAAAGAACATAAGGAACCTAACTTTGCTGCAGAGTGAGGAGAGTTGTCAGGGAGCTTCCCAGAGAAGATGACCTATGAGCTGGGTAAGAATTGAATGACGAAGGGTGCCTGGGTGGCTCAGTCAGGTTAAATGTGTGACTCTTGATTTTGGCTCAGGTCATCATCTCACGGTTTGTGAGTTTGAGGCCCTGTGTTGGGCTCCACACTGCCAGTGCAGAGCCAGGAGGGATTGTCTTTTTCTCTGCCTCTCTCTCTCTCTCCCCTTCCCCTGTTTGTGCATGTTCTCTCTCTTTCAAGATAAATAAACTTAAAAAAAAAAAAAAAAAGAATTGAAGGATAAGTAAGAGTTGAAGAGTAGGGGAGTAATGCAGGAAGAGGGAACAAGCAGCATTTGCAGAGGCCTTCAAACAATAAAGATCACATTACTTTTGAATAAATGAAAGCAGTTTTGATACTTTCTGTATCTCATGGCTGCAGCATACGTGTAAGAGGGAAGTGGCTGGGAGACAACAACAGTGTGGTAAGCAAGGAACATCATAAAGGGTATTGAAAGCTGTCTGGAGAGCTAAGGATCTTTATTCTTTTTTTTAGTTTTTAAAAAATTTAATGTTTTTATTTATTTTTGAGAGAGGGAGACAGAGTGAATGGGAGAGGGGGGCAGAGAGAGACGGGGAGACATAGAATCCAAAGCAGGCTCCAGGCTCTTAGCTGTCAGCACAGAGCCCAACACGGGGCTTGAACTCCTGAGCTGTGATATCATGACCTGAGCCGAAGTCGGATGCTTAACCGACTGAGCCACCCAGGCGCCCCTATTCTTTTTTTTAAATATTTATTTGAGAGAGAGAGAGTGAGGGAAGGGCAGAGAAAGAGAGAGGGAGAGAGAGAATACCAAGCAGGCTTCATGCTGCCAGCACAGAGCCCCATGTGGGGCTTGAACCCCATGAACTGTGAGATCATGACCTGAGCCAAATTCAAGAGTTGGACTCTTAACTGACAGAACACCCAGGCACCCCTAGGGGTCTTTATTCTTAGAATGATAGAGTACCCTTGAAATCTTTTCAGTAGATTACTAATATGATAAAAATGGTCAGATTTGCATTTTATTTTATTTTTTAAGGTTTATTTATCTATTTATTTTAAGTTATTTATTCATCCTGAGAGAGACAGAGACAGCGTGAGTGGGCGAGGGGCAGAGAGAGAGGGAGACCGAAAGTCCCAAGCAGGCTCTGCACTGTCAGCTCAGTGTGGGGCTTAAACTCACAAAACTGTGAGATCATGACCTGAGCCAAAACCAAGAGTCAGACACTTAACCAACTGAGCCACTCAGGTGCCCCTTATTTATCTATTTTGAAAGAGAGAAAGTTCCCTCAATTTCATGAACCATGAGATCATGACTGAGCTGAAACCAAGACACTCACCTAACTGAGCCACCCAGACGCCCCTAGATTTGCATTTTATAAGTAATCTAGTTGTTGTGTATACAGACCAAGGAGAGCCAAACTAAATGGAGAAAGACCAATTAGGAGGCTTATTTTGAGCTAACTCATGTCCCCTCCAAATTTGTAGGTTCAAGTCCCAACCTCAGGGACCCCAAAATGTAACTGTATTTGGAGAAAATATTCTTAATCAATAAAGTCAAAATGAGGCCGTTAAGGTGAGGCCCTTGTCCAATCTGCCTTGTGTCCTTAGAAGAGAAAGAGATACCAGGAATTTAAGTGCACAGAGGAAAGAATACATGGGGACACAGCAGGAAGGCAGTCATCTTTAAGCCAAGGAGAGAGGCTTCAGAAGAAACCAAGCCTGCCAACACCTTGATCTTGGATTTCTAGATTCTAGAACTGTTGTATCTGGCATCTTTTGCTCACCATAATATTTTTGAGATTCATCCGTGCTATTGAATGTATTTGTTCTTTTTTAATGTTGAGTTGTATTGCAGTTTATGAGTATACGATATTTTGTTACCCATTTATTTGAGGATGGATATTTATATTTGGGTTTTCCAGTTCATTATTATAAGTAAAACTGTAAGGAATAGTTAGTTATGTATAAGCCTTTTTTTAAACATACATTTTCATTTATCCTGGGTAGACATATTTTCATTTCCTGGGAGTGGAATTTTGGGGTTTTATGGTTAAGCATAGGTTTAACTTTAGAAGAAACTCCCAAACCATTTTCTTGAGTGGTTGTATCATTCTATTCCAACTAGTGATCTACAAGACTTCAGTTACTTTGTATATTCACTAACATTTAGCATTGTCGGTCTTTTTGTTTTTAGATATTTTAGTGTGTCTGTGGTGGTATTCTGTTGTATAATTTGCATTTTTCTGGCCTATGTATTCATGAAAAAAAATGTTTATTCTACAGTTGTTAGGTGTAGTATTCTATAAATATCAATAAAGTCAAGTTAGGAGCTGTTAACACTTAAGTGTTCTCTTACTGATTTTCTAGTTGTTTTACAATTTCTGAGACAGGAATGTTGGAATCTTCAATTGTACTTGAGTATTGTTAAATTTCTCCTTTCAGTTCTGTCAGCTTTCAATTTATATACAGTGTTTTGAAACTCTTATTAGGTACACACACATATATGGTTAGTATTTTTTCTTATGAATTAATCCTTTTATCTTTAAAAAACATGCTCCATTTTATATCTAATAATTGTGAAGTTTTATCTGATATCAATATGGACAATATAGTCTTCTTGTACTTACTGAATATTTATCATTTGCTATCTTTTTATTTGAATATATTTTTATATATTTAAAGTGAACCTTTAGTGGTTAATGTATAGTTCAATCTTGCTTTTGTATCCATTCTGATAACCTGCCTTTTATTTGGAGTGTTTAATCCGTTTACATTTGATATATTTATTAAAGTTGATTTAGATTTACCATTTTTGTCAGATCTAGGATTTGACTTTACTTCACTTAGAGGCTAATAATAGTATGCTCCTGTTTCAAGAAAGCTGTCAGAAAGACAGGGGTAATCTGAGGCATGGAGAAGTAACTCACCTAAGCCTACAACAGCTGTCAGTGGTAGACATTAAATTTAAACTTTGACCATCTAATTCCAGAACTTGAGCTTTTATTTAACATATTATATGACCCCAAAAGATGTTCTGCACTTACATAAATGTAATAAGGTATTCATTCACCATGTAGGATAAGTTTTCTAAACTTTTTCCCCCTTTTTTCTCACTTTGTAGTTTGGAATGGTCAGCTGTCATTGTGGATGAAGCTCATAGAATTAAGAATCCAAAGGCTAGAGTAACAGAAGTTATGAAAGCTTTAAAATGTAATGTCCGCATTGGCCTCACTGGAACCATTCTTCAGAACAACATGAAAGAACTGTGGTGTGTTATGGACTGGTGAGTAAAAACACTTTTTATGTTTTGTAAAATTTTTAATATTTCTTTAACTTATTGTTACCTTGTTTGCTAATTAATAGTTTCTGGGGTGGGGAGGGGGGACCCAAATACAGCCATGTTTACAGATGTATTTGTCCCAAACATGATATACAGAGTAGAGTCCCATGAAAACCTTTCTTTATATGTTAGTCTCGGTCCTTGAAGTAAATATCTGAACGTATTTACCAATTCTGTCATCTTATAGCTATTTACTGAAACTGTCATAAAGAAAGAACACTCTGTTTTCTTTTATTTTGTTATTGTTACCATTCATGAACAAGCGACTTAGTACTATTTCTTAGACTCAGAAAGAAGTCAATATGTTTCTTTTTAGATAATTGACCAAAGCCCTAATATTTTTGTTATTGCCTTTATATAGGGCTGTGCCAGGACTTTTAGGTAGTAGGATCTACTTCAAGAAGCAGTTTTCTGACCCAGTAGAACATGGTCAGAGACACACAGCAACAAAAAGAGAACTAGCTACTGGCCGAAAGGCCATGCAAAGGCTTGCAAAGAAGATGTCTGGCTGGTTTCTCCGGCGTACCAAGACTCTGATCAAGGATCAGTTGCCTAAGAAGGAAGACCGGGTGAGAACTGCATTTGTTTAAATTATTAATTTCTCATATTTTATTTTTTTCCTGAACAAATTCTTTTTAAAAGAAAATCTGTCTCCTATGATATTTTATGAATATAGGGGTTTTTTTGCCTGAGTAGTATGGAAAAAAATATTATGTGCAAAATTTCAGAAAATGTTAATTGAACCCAATCTAGCAGGTTAGCTAGCAGGTTTATTGTTAGTATGCATTAAATTCATTTCTCTTATAAGAAGGCTTTTGCTGCAGTTCTTCCTCAGTTGGAAAAGAAGAGCTCTGTCCCTAATTTGTTATCCATTCATATTTTATCCTTCATATATTGCCTACTATCCACAGCCCAGTATATTCCATGAGACCTTAATTACAGCTATAGGGACCACAGTGATTAAAAGCTTTGTTTTTTTTAGAATGCCATTTGCAGTTATACAACTAACTTAGTTTGAAGAACTTTAGGAAAGTTATAATTAAATTCTGTTAATTATTTAAGAACATTTGAAGAGTAAACCTTAAGAGATTTTTTTTTTAATGTTGTGGTCCTCTTGTATAGTTTTTAATCTGGTAGTTCTTCTTGCTCAGGTAATGGAAAAAAGGTTTTATAAATTACCATGAACTAAGTTTAATTAATGTTGTCCCAAATAAGGGCAATGCTATCAAATACTCTCTAGTCTTAGGATGTCCTGTTGATTATTACTTTAAAAAGATAGACTTGAAAGGAAAATATGTTACTGATATGCAAGTTGGGGAAAATGATAAAATGTTTGACTTTTTTTTAAGTTCATTTCTTTATTTTTGAGAGAGAGTGCGAGCAGGGGAGGGCAGAGAGAGAATCCCAAGGAGGCTCCACGCATTGTGGAGCCTGACACAGGACTCAGTCTCATGAACTGTGAGATCATGACCTAAGCCGAAATCAAGAGTTGAATGCTTAACCAGCTGAGCCACCCAGGTGCCCCAACATTTGACTTTTTGATCTAAAGCAGATAATGTCATTTAATTGGAATACTTAATGAACCCTCACTTTTGAAAATATTTTGTGCAATTTTATGTATATTATTTGTCTGTCCAGTAGGAACAACAACTAAAATATGAAGAAAGAGTTGTGCACAGAGTGTCTAGAGCTTGGGCTCTAGAGTCAAATATTATAGGCTTGAATCCTGGCTCCCTACTTACGAGTTTTATGACCTTGAGCAATTTGCTAAGTCTCTCAAACCTTGGCTCCCATCTGTTAAATGGGAATGGTGATAGTTTTTGCCTCACATGGTCGCTCTGAAGTGTGTGGCATGTAAGAAGTGTTTAGTAAATGTTACTACCTGTTTTAAAATACTTGGGAATAAATTTAACCAAGGAGGTGAAAGACCTATACACTGAAAACTATAAGAAACTGATGAAAGAGATTGAAGAAGACACACATGAATGGAAGGATACTCATGTTCATGGATTGGAAGAATTAGTATTGTTAAAATGTCCATGCAATCCCTATAAAAATTCCTATGGCAGTGGGGCGCCTGGGTGGCGCAGTCAGTTAAGCGTCCGACTTCAGCCAGGTCACGATCTCGCAGTCCATGAGTTCGAGCCCCGCATCAGGCTCTGGGTTGATGGCTCAGAGCCTGGAGCCTGTTTCCGATTCTGTGTCTCCCTCTCTCTCCGCCCCTCCCCTGTTCATGCTCTGTCTCTCTCTGTCCCAAAAATAAATAAAATTGAAAAAAAAATAAAGTTGAAAAAAAAAAATTCCTATGGCAGTTTTTTTCAGGAATAGAACAGACAGCCCTAAAATTTGTATGGAACCACCATATACCCCAAAATAGCCAAAGCAATCTTGAGCAGGAACAGCTAAGTTGTCAGGTGTCACATTTCCTGATTTCAAACTATATTACAAGGCTATAGTAATCAAAACAGTATGGTACTGGCATAAAAACAGACATATAGACCAGTAGAGTGGAATAAAGAGCCCAGAAATAAACCCATGTATATACAGTCAACTAATATTTGACAATGGAGCCAAGAATACTCAGTAAGATGCTCTTTTCAATAAGTGGTAGTGGGAAAATTGTATATTTATATGGACTCCTATCTTCTACTACTCACAAAAAGTAACTGTAAGTGGGTTAAAGATTAAAACACAAGATGTGATCTTGTAAAACTTCTAGAAAAACAGGGAAAAAGCTCCTTGACATTGATCTTGTGATGATTGCTGATGATTTTTTTGAATATGGCATCAAAAGCATAAGCAACAAAAGCAAAAATTTAAAAAGTGAGGTTAATCAAACTAAGAAGCTTCTTTATAGCAAAAGAAACAACAGAATTTTTCATTTTTTAGCAATACTATTCTGTTGTAGTGATATAAATACATAAATATTTATAGATAGATGGTTTTTCCTTTTTGTTCACATTTTTCAAAATCTTATTATGAGTTTTATGACCTTGATTATATAGAGCTACATCTAGAAGACGTTTACCAGTTTCCAGTCCTACTAGAAATCTAAGGTAAATTATATTCCACATAACTTAGTGGCATTATTTTATCATATTTTCTTCTTTTCTTGGAATTGGACACAAAATAGAAACTTGTAGTTGTTTTATGTGTATGTTTTAATTCTTACCTTTACTAATATTAGAAATTTATACCAGGATATAAAATACAAATACTTTATGCTGTTTTTAGTATAAATTTTCAAGTAATTCATTAAATACTATTCATACGATTGTTCTAAAGTTTTCCCTTTTCTCATCTACTTTTTTATCTGACCTAAACTGTAGTCATATATTTGCATGATGGGCTAATAGTATGAAACCCTGAAATATAGAGTACATTCTATATAGAAATATATAAGGAAAACACTTAACTTATTTTTTCATATTTTGATTCCTTTCAGTTGAAAAAATAGTTCTGTGAGATTTATTTGAAAATAAAGTTATATTTATGTAGTTTAGGGTAAGATGGTAGCAAAGAGTATAGGAAAATCAGGAGAATTTGTCATAATAATGTATCTAAAAGAAAAATAGTTTATCAGCAGTTTTCACTCTTAAAATTTATAAAATCTGATGTGCATTGTGACTATTACTACTATTAAAAAGTACCGATAATCACCTTGTGTTTTATCTTGGCAGATGGTGTATTGTTCTCTGACAGATTTTCAGAAAGCTGTCTATCAAACAGTATTAGAAACAAAAGATGTGACTTTGATACTTCAGTCTTCTGAGCCTTGTAGCTGTAACAGTGGCCGGAAAAAGAGAAATTGTTGTTTCAAGGCAAGCATTTCTGTGTGGTATATTCACGATCTTGGTTTTGATTACACAGTTGTCTATTCTACTGTAAGAGTGAGGAGCAGATAAAATAACTTTTCCTCAGTTCCCTAAATTTAGAAACCATAAATTAATAAAAAGGAATAGTTTTCAAAAATATTTTACAATATCAAATAGTAATCATAACAAAATACAATATTCATATATCTTTTCAATAAACCACTTTTTCAGTAGCTCTCAGAAACTAGTAGCTTCAATTTGATATCCTCCCTTTCATCTTTTATTAGAAAGTAGCCTACTTTCATCTTGAAATTTCATCTAATTTTTAAAACTTTCTCATTATCCCTTACTAGTAAACTTACTCTTTGATAGCAGGCTTAAAATATTCTGATAGAATATTAATAAGAACTGTGTTTTGGTATAATAGAGTATTTTATTTTTATTTAGAAACAAATATACTTTGTATTTTTTTAACCTATCTATATTTCCTGCCCGTTTTCACCTATTTTATTATCAAGTTATCTATCAAATATCCATGTACATAGAGGGACCCTAAATAAATATTTCTCTAGATTGATATTTGTTCCACCTCTCATTTATTTTGCTGTTTTTAGCCACCTCACTCTTTTGTAAATGCACAGTTTCCTAGGAAGCCTTGGAATATAAATGAGAATAGTGAAGGGCTCTGTTACAGCCCTGCCTCCATGCCATAGTTTTATTACCAGGGACCTCTTCTGGCAGCATTTCTATCACTGTGTGTCATGAGGATAAATACTTTCTGAAATGAGGACTTTCTCCCCTCTTTTTTTTTTTTTTATTTTTTAAACATCACTGTATTATGGTTCACCAAAAGTATGATTCCACATTAGTGATGCATGGATATTTTGTGTAACAGTTGACCATTATTTTCTCAAAATGTATTGTGCTAGTAGTAACCAGATGATAAATACTAGTGTAAGTGATAGATTTCATGAAGTAAGTAGTTACATAGCCATGTTAGTTCCTTGCTATTTTTATTTTCTGTCTTTCTGGTTACAGACCAATTCACATGGCGAAACAGTGAAAACCTTGTATTTCAGTTACCTTGCAGTCCTTCAAAAGGTAGCTAACCATGTTGCACTACTGCAGACTGCTAGCACCTCCAAACAACAGGTTTGAGTTGGCTTTTTGTACTTCTTCATGATGCTACTGGTATAAAGATTTTATATTTGGTATAAAATGTCTTAGCCAATAAAGATATCTTTATTTTTGTATGCAATTAAAGAGGAAACTGAACTTGCTCATTTTTAAATTTAGGTGTCAAAGAAATATATGCTCATATGTTTTTAATTGAAGTGAGAAAATTAAAGCCTAAGTTAAAATAACAGTTCTTTTTTTATACCTGTGATAACGTTCATATATTCGTTTTCCTAACATATTTGATGTAATTACTAAGTAAGATATTTGATGAGTCAGTCCTCTTCCACTAATCATGTGTCTAATTCCATCTGTTCAATCTATTGGATTAAAATGTATTTTTAATAACCTGTATATTAAATATTAGGAGTATTTCCCAAGCTGGCATAAATGAGTAATTTCAAAGTTTAGACAAATGCAATCATTTACTTTGGTCATTTCGATTGTATCTTATTCTAGAGCACAACATAAATTTAAAAAACTTCTTTAAAGCTTTTTACATAATGATTTTCTATTTTCTTTTTGTGTTATAATCTTAATGCTATTTAAATGTAATTTTAAAATTTAATAAGAATTTAATATTGTTCTTTGATAGTACTGTTTGCTCTTTAGGAAGTATTTGATTTCTTGTTTTGGAAATCATAAAAGAATAATGATAACATTATTAGTCCTATCATTATCTCAGAACTCATCAAAACCATATGTAATTAACATTATCACTTTAAGGTTTTCTGAATTATTAGTCTGACTTAGAGAAGATAATATCTTCAAAGTAATATGTTCCTTCTAAATAGAATTTTTTTCATAAACAATCTCAATTTATATAGGTTTAAATGTGTTAAGTTGCAATTTCTTTTCTTCTACCTTTTCCCCTTTTAAGGAAACACTTATCAAAAGGATATGTGATCAGGTATTTTCCAAATTCCCAGATTTTGTGCAGAAAAGCAAAGATGCAGCCTTTGAAACACTCTCTGACCCAAAATACAGTGGTAAGATGAAGGTAAGTGCTCTTCTCTCAGGCTGCATACACACAAGGATGATACTCAAAATATTTATCAGTAGTGTGACAGGGACACCAACTAATCAGAACAGATACCCAATCATTCAGAAGAGACTGGCCAAAGATGACTGGCGTAGCTGTGTCAGCATTTACTAGCTCACAATGAACCATACATGCAGTCTCACTTAGTGGTTACATCAAATACACTTTAGACTCTCCTTATCAATGTATTAGACGTATGCCTGCTTAAAAATGTGCGCTGTTGTGCTGCATATATAATAGCTTGTCTTCAAATGTTTAAGGAGATAATCTACCAGAAATACAAATGCTAATGCCAAATACGAGGAGGAGGCTATACAATAGCTTGGACTTAGAGAAAGGAACTTCTTAAAGAGTTCAAGGTGGACAAGACCTTTCTGTCTATACTGAATTTTCTGCCTCTTGGTTTCACTTGCCAATCTGTATTGGAAGGTTGCTAATCTCATTTGTGTCAAGGGAGCATTTGTTGTACACTAGGAAACTGACCTGTAGGTGCTGCCCTTGGTGATATATTACTAAGGGAAGGTGTGAAAAGTATGGCTAGGTTCTCCACCCATGACGTAGGCCTGTGACAGCTGCATGATTGCTGACAGCTTCCAGCCTTTTTGCAGCAGACTTTGCTTGTTTAACTCTTTAATAACTGTCAAGAATCTTTATGGATTCAGAGACTATTACAGAACAATTCTCAACTTTATGGTTTAATTTTTTAAAGAGTAAGTTATTTCTTTTGGCTAAATAAATAAAATAAGAAGTAATTCGAGGTAGGTTGTTGTTGTTTCTAAAACCCTGGAAATATATTTAGCAGTTAATCTACATAAATTCATCATAGTGTAGTTTACTTGGACCTCTAAATTCAATAAAATAGAATAAAAGCCAAGAAGATTACCTTAAATACTTGGGTATGTATTTTTTTAGTTGAGATATAATTGGCATATAACATTGTTTTGGTTTTAGGGGTGCAAAATAATGATTTGATACATATGTATATGGCTAAATAATTATCACAATAAGTTTATTTAATATCAATCACCACACATAGTTATTTTTTCTTATGATGAGGCCTATTAAGATCAACTCTCTTAGCAACATTCGGATATATAATACAGCATTGTTAACTATAGTCACCATGCTGTACATTAAATCCATAGCACCTGTTTATCTTACAATTGAAAAGTGCCTTTTGACCACCTTCATCGATTTTGCCTGCCTCCACCCCTAGCTTCTGGCAACCACCAATCTGTTCGCTGCACCTATAAATTCAAACTTTTTAAAAAATTTTTTTAAATTTTTTATTTAATTTTAGAGAGAGAGAGAGAGAGACAAAGTGTGAGTGGGGGAGGAGCAGAGAGAGAGGGTGACACAGAATCTGAAGCAGGCTCCAGGCTCTGAACTGTCAGCACAGAGCTCAATGCGGGGCTTGAACTCATAAATGGTGAGATCATGACCTGAGCCAAAGTCAGATGCTCAAACAACTGAGCCATGCAGGCACCCCTCAAACTTTTTTTTTTTTTTTTAGTTTCCACGTATAAGTGAGATCATACAGTATCTATATTTCTTGGTCTCTCTTATTTCATGAAGCATAATGTCATTCATGTTGCAATGCCAGGATTTCTTTCTTTTTTATGACCGAATATTCCATTGTATATGTGTATTTCATGTTTTCTTTATCCATTTATCTGTCGATAGACACCTAACATTTTTTCCAAGTCTTGGCTGTTATAAACAATGCTGCAGTAAACATGGGGGTGCAGATGTCTTACCGAGATCAATTTCACTCTTTTGCATGTGGCTGTCCAGTTTTCCCAGCACCATTTATTAAAGAGAGTATCCTTTCCCCTTTGTATATTCTTGGCTTCTTTGTCATAAATTAAGTGACTATATATGTTTGGGTTTATTCCTGGACTCTCTGTTTTGTTCCATTGACCTGTCTGTTTTAATGTCAGTACCATATAGTACCATGTAGTACCATAACTTTGTAGTATGGTTTGAAATCAGGAAGTGTGGTTTCCAACAAGGCCTCCAGTTTTGTTGCTCTTTCTCAAGATTGCTTTGACTATTCAGGTTTTTTTGTGAGTCCATGCAAATTTTAGTATTGTTTGTTCTTATTTCTGTGGAAAATGCCATGGAATTTTGATGGGGATTGCATTGAATCTATAGATTGCTTTGAGTAGTATGGACATTTTCCAACATTCCCAGCCTACGAACACTGAATACCTTTCTATTTATTTGTGTCTTCTTCAGTGTCTTATCATTCTCAATGTATAGGCCTTTCATCTCCTTGGTTAAATTTATTTTTACTTGGTTCTTTTTTATGCATTTGTAAATGGGATTGTTTTCTTAATTTCTTCTTCTTATGGTTCCTTATTAATGTACAGAAATGCAATGAATTTTTGTAGGTTGATTTTGTATCCTGTAATTTTACTGAATTTGTTAGTTTTAACAGTTTTTTGTAGAGTCTAGGTTTTTGATATATAAGATCATGCCATATGTAAACAGAGACACTTTTACTTTTTCCTTTGCCATTTGGATGCCTTTTATTTCCTTGTCTTGCCTTATTGCTCTAGCTAGGACTTCCAGTACAGTGTTGAATAACAATGACAAGAGTAGGCATCCTTGTCTTATTCCTGATGTTGGAGGAAAAGCTTTGTTTTTACCAGTGGATATTACATTAGCTGTAAGCTTGTCACATATGGCCTTTATTATGTTGAGGTATGTTCTCTCTATACCCACTTTGTTGAGAGTTGTGTATTTTTAAATAAATAAGTTTGTATTAGTGAGAATATTCTGTTTTATTATGACAATAAATAATTCAAACTAATAGTAGTAATTTTCCTACCAATATTTCCTAACAATAATAAATCTATTTTTGTCATCCATTTTATTGACTTTTATTTATTTATGTATTTATTTATTTAATGTTTACTTATTTTGGGAGAGAAAGAGAGACAATGAATGGTAGAGGGACAGAGAGAGATGGAGAAAGAGAATTCCAAGCAGGCTCCATGCTGTCAGCACAGAGCCTGACGGCTTGATCTCACAAACTGTGAGATCATGACCTGAGCTGAAATCAAGAGTGGAAAGTTCAACTGACTGAGCCACCCAGGTGCCCCGACTTTATTTATTTTAACTATATAAAAAGCTCAATTAATTTGGAACTGAGCACTTATTATCCCATAATTCAAGCCAATAGAATATTTTCAAAAATCATGGCCTCCTTATGAAAACTGTATTATCTATTGTTATATATTTAAATATCATTCATTGTGACTCTTCACTAAAAAGTTACTCTTGATATTAAATGGAATTTTATAACTACTCATTAATGTATATTTAGAAATAATGTCTGATTAAAATAATTATTACATTTTTTTTGTTATGAGTTTTAGAAGGGAAAAAGCAAGCATGAATTATTGATGGAGTCTGGGTTGATGTCTTTATATGTGAAAGGCGCCTATAATTTACTTTGTGAGAGAATACCAACAAGAAAGAGACTGATATTAATAACCTAAGGTTATATTTTTAAAATTGTGTTTCATCATTTGATTATCAACATCACCTGGTAATTTCGTGATACAAAACGTATAGGCTTATAATCTATTGTCTCTGGGGTTAAGAAATCCAAGTTGCATGTACTTCTTGAATTCAAGTGATGAAAGATACTAGTTCTGCTTCTCTTATTATAGGTCAGCCTACAGCTGCAATTTATTTGTTGATATAATGCTCACTGTACCCTTCATACCCTCAGAACTATACTCATGAACTCCAGCTCTTTCTGTTAAATGTGAAGGTCTTTTTTTGACCTCAACTACTATTCAAGCAGATGGTCAAAAATTGCACTTATTCCCCTGATAAGAATCCTCATTTTCCCTTCCCTTGGGAAATACCACAGAGCCACTTACTGTGAGGGGTGGGGGAAAAGGCTTAGAAAACCGAGTTTAGTGCTGTTGGGATCATATAGGGGTCATGTTCTTCTCTAGGCTTGACTAATTTGAGGAAAGTTACGTTTAAGATTTCTTAGTGTGAACATTGTTATTTACAGCGCTCCTTGATATTTACCCAAGTAAATTAAAAACTTAGTTCACATAAGAACCTGTACACAGATACTTTTAGCAATTTTATTTATAATTGCCAAAACTTGGAAGCAACCAAGATGTCCTTCAGTAGATGAATAGATAAGTTGTGATACATTCAGGCAATAGACTGTTATTCAACAATAGAAAGAAATGAACTATCAAGCTACGAAAAGACATGGTCACCTTAAATGCATATTACTAAGTGAAAGAAGCTAGTCTGAAAGACTACTTACTGTATGATTCTAACTCTATGATAGTCTGGAAAATGCAAAACTGTAGAGAAAATAAAATAATAAATGGTTGTCAGGAGTTTGCAAGGAGGGATATATAGATGGAGCACAGGGAATTTTTAGGGCAGTGAAACAATTCCATATAATACTTTAATGGTGAATACATGTCATTATATATTTGTCAAAACTCATGGAATGTACACCACAAGGAATGAGCCCTATTATAAATAATGTTAACAGACTTTAATAATAATAATAATTTAATAATAGTTTATAATAATAATTTATTAACAATTTATTCGTCCATCAGTTGTTACAAATGTACCACCCTAATGCAAGATGTTAATAATAGGGAAAACTTTGTGCAGGGAGGGGCAGGGATATAAGATGTGGGAGAGGGATTCTGGGCATATTCTCTGTATATTTTACTCTGTTCTTCTGAAAATCCAAAATTGCTCTAAAAAAAGTCTTTAATTTTAAAAAGTTATTGTATTATGTGAAGTTCAAATGCACATCCTTTATACAGAATCAGTTATTTTATTAAAAAATAAAGTTAATGCAAAACTTACTTTATAAGTTTTGCAAGTATTAAAATTATGTTGACTTGATCTGTGACATTTTTATCACCGTTTGGTTATTTGAGTAGCTTTTTTTTTTTCTATAGCTTTTTCTGAGGGATTGGACCATGGGGGTCAGAGTTAGCACAATATCTTCTCTTAGTCAATTATTAAAAGAGTGTTATATTGAATATGATTTTTTGTTTAAGTTTAAATGCTTATCAGTGAATAAACAAAATTGAAGTGTTTATTGCATAATTCAGAAAAACTTTAGGCTTAGTACAGAAAATTCCTTTTCTTTCCTTTGTGGATTACTTTTCCACAGTGTTCTGGAACTGTCACTGCCAGATGTGGAAATGCCTATTTTAAAAATAACAGTGATACTGTTATACACAGGTTTGGATTATTTGCTTCCTCCCTAAAAGCACTGTATTTGGGGAAAATTATTGACATTTTGAGGTCAGAATCAAATCTGGAAGTCAGGACTTACTGTAAATAGAGAAGCAGAGAGGATAAAATAAGAAGAGGTGTATATGTGACTGATTATTTTAAGAAAACAAATATCAAGACCTAGATGTAATTAAACACATTTCATTACGTCTATCTAGAAAAAATTTAAATACTTCCTAAAAGGAATGCTGTTCTGTAATTTAGTTTCTGAACATATTGTAGGTATAAAGAAAGTGTTTTTTGGAAATTAAATTAATTCATTTAAATGCATCCCATAATCTAAAATGTTTCTTTTTTATTAAAACCAGATGAGATGAAACAAAAGTCTTTGGGAACCTTACCTCATTATTGACAGTATGATGATGAATAACATTTCATGTAATATCTAATACCTTATTTCTCTAACTTGGCAAAAATGAAGGGAATTAGGAAAGAGGACTGAGGTTATATTGTATAAAAATAATTTTTAAGAAATTCTCTAGTGATGTTTATATGTATTAAGTGTGCTTTTAGTTGGAACTGGTTCATTGGTGGTTGATTTCTGTGGTTCATTTCTAGGTCCTTCAGCAGCTTTTAAATCATTGTAGGAAAAACAAAGATAAAATACTTCTTTTCTCCTTTTCCACCAAGGTAAGTTCCTTCTGAAGTATATACTCTTAATTGGCCCAGCCCTAACTCTTGAGGCATAAATCCTAAGAGACATAACAGTGTCCAGCCACAGTTTTATCTTATACATACTGTAGAAAATAGTAGTGACATAAGCAACTTTTAAAACAGACACTTAAATCTCAATGATATCAAGATTACTGTCAAAGAGGAAACTCAAAGATTTTTAATTCTCTGTTGATGTTTTTATTAATAATTAAAGTGTTCTTTAAGGCATGTAAGAGATTTTAGAACTTGGAAAATAGCACAAATAATGAAATTCACTTACATAAATTATTTGGCCAATACTTTTTATTTGGTTTTAGTTTCAAAAAAAAATAAAGTTTGATTTTTTTTTCCCTGAAAGATTGATTTAAAAAACAAACATTGGTGAATATTATAGTCAGTTTCAGGATAGTGGGGAGAAATACATAAGCCAGAAGTCAGGAAAATATTTGTTGCTCTTGTAATTATAAGAAAGAACTTGTGAGCAGCAATTATTAATACTTAGTAAATCTTCTCTCTATAGTGGTACGAAATTTATTAAACCATACATTTGTCTTTGCCCATTTCCATACCTTTTCTCTAGTTACTTGATGTTCTGCAGCAATACTGTATGGCAGCTGGCCTTGATTACCGACGACTTGATGGAAGTACGAAATCAGAGGAAAGAATCAAGATTGTGAAAGAGTTCAACAGTACACAAGATGTTAACATTTGCCTTGTCTCCACAATGTAAGAAAATAAAATTTGATAACTTGATTTTTATGTAATTGCTTTTAAGATTTAGGGTAATTTAAAAATTATTACTGGATTAATTTTCAGTGGTTATGATTATATTGCCTTGTTTTATTTGGCTTTGAGGAGAAGCAGCAAAAATGCTATTGTATTAATTATGACTGAAATAACAATATCTTGAGTTTTACCTACCTTTTTTCTCAATTTCCTTATCATCACTGGATTCTCTTTATATGTCTGGGTTTATAAAGATAACAATCAAAAGAAATGGATGTTTCCTCCTAGGAATTTTTTGTGGTAGTGTTTTTATTCATGTCTGTGGTCAGAACAGTCAGACTTAATTGAGTAATTGAGTTATTAATCAAATAACTAAGAATCATTTGTAGCAGTGGCTTTTAAAGTATGCTCAAGCAGCCCTAGAGAGCTCACTAGGGTTAGTGGGCCAGGTATTTCCTCCCTCTGTCTACCTGCTCTCAACCATAGCAGCTCTACATTAATAGGTTTTATAAAAGTTAAGTCAGTTCTAACACCTATTTATGAATCTCTCATTAAAACCTTTTAAAGAATATATACACTTTAGAGCAAGATTTATGCCAGTATAAACACCTAAGAAGATTAATCCCTTTTGGGGGGTAACAAATCCTTAACTTTTGACATCTAATGTAATAAGTACTTTATAGATTTACCCCCACTATCTTGCAAAAAGAATTTCAGAGGACTTTAAAAACAAATGTAGCAGGGTGCCTGGGTGGCTCAGTCATTGAGCGTCCAACTTTGGCTCAGGTCATGATCTCACAGTTTGTGAGTTTGAGCCCCACATCAGGCTGGGTGCTTTGGCATAGAGTCTGCTTTGGATCCTTTGTCCCCTCTCTCTGCCCCTCCCCTGTTTGTGCTGTCTCTCTCAAGGATAATAATTTTTTTAAAAAAAAAAAGTTAAAAGCAAACATGTAAAATGTAAAAAGTCAACAAAAAATTACTTAAAATGAGGCATAAAATTATATATATGATGAATGCGCTACTTACTATTGAACACCGAAATTCTCCTTGAACTCTTGCATTGAGAGGCACTCTGGATTCCCATTTTCCTGTGAATGGATTCAAGAAGTAATTTCTCATATGAGCCCTTACCTACGAGCATTAAATGACATAGGATATTGTCTTCTGTTAAGTTTTATAAAGTACATAAACATGCTTAATTTGTTAAATAATGTCTCCAAAGTAACAAATGCCTTCAACAATACTTCAAATAGTACCGAACTTCTAGACAAGCTGTCATCTGCCACTCCTTGTCTGCTCACCCCCATCTAATTTGATGAGATCTGCCATAATGCTCCTAATTATCTCTATGTTAGAAATTTCTATTTAACCCATTTAGTGAGTTTTTAAAGACTGTATTTTTCATGTTTAAAGCCCTATTGGTATTTTTCAAATCTGCCTAATCATTTTTACTTATATTTTGTTCTTTATGTTTTCTAGCTTTTCTTTTGTTTCTTTAGTAATTTCAATCATTATTTTTTAAAATCCCTTTTTAAATGGCATTTTTGCTCTGTTAACTCCTGAATTGGGGCTGCTAATCCTTCTGTTGTTCCCTCTTGTTCTTGCTCATGGTACATGGTTTCTTCACACATTTTGTAATTTTTTATTTTGAGCTTATCTATCTATAGAGGGGCTTTCCCCCTCTATTTTAGCCAGACATCATGCCAGCCACATAGGGATGGGAATCCATGTTTCTTGCTTGGCTTTTATTGACATCCCAAGAGTGAGGCACTTGATTACTGTTTCTGTATGTCCTCCACTGACATTACAGAGGCGACTGGGTTATAGCTGGGCAGAAATGAATGTCCCAGCTCCTCAGTCTTCTGTGATATCCTCTGAGTGGAGGTGAGAGGCACCCCATTTTAGTCAAGCAAGAGTGGAAATCTAATCTCCTCACTCAGCCTTTACTGACCAGGTTGGGATTCAGGTCATAGATTTTTTTTTTTCCATGGTGTTTCCAAAAATAGGCGGGTTATTATCTAACATTTTCTGTGTTAAAAGTCTATACCTTTCCTGGTTCTTTAGCTAAAGGAAAAGGGCTTTTCTTGGGCCTTTTTTTTTTTTTGGTCTTGACTGTTGGCATTTCCAGTTTGCTGGTTTCTCCAGAACCCAGTCTGGGATTTTTAAGCAAAAACAAAGCTGGAGAACTCACTGCCATGTCCTTCATTAGTTCTTATAGTCTCTAGCCATGCTTTGTTCTCTCTGCCTTTCAGGTCTTACATTTATTTTATATATGATGCCCAGCATTTTAAGCTGCACTTACTGAGAGGAGTAAGAAGTGCATCTACTCCTGCCTTGGTTTTTAAAAATGTGTATATTACTTTATTTAGTTGGACCATACTTACAATTTTTAAAAATTATGTTAGGAAGACCTTACAGCATCGTATTTGAATATCCAAAACAATGAAAAAAAACAGTACAACCTATTTACGTGGGCTTTAATGGTCAATTTCTTTTAGGATTATTCTAGAATGGTAGAAAAACTATTCTGTAGCTGTTTTGTTTGTGGCATGTTTGTGTTTTAATCATCTTTTATGATGTTAATGCAGTATTGTGTTGATTTGGTTACAGAAACCTGGCACAATTGAATTAGAAGGCAATGACTATGCTTTTGCTATTTTAATGTGCCCAATTCTGTTTCCTCAGGGCTGGTGGACTAGGCCTCAATTTTGTTGGTGCCAATGTTGTTGTATTGTTTGATCCTACTTGGAATCCAGCCAATGATCTTCAAGCAATTGACAGGTATAATACTGACAAAATTTAAAGTGATTTGCAAATACTTTGAAAATACCCCCTTGTGATTCTCTTAAGTTGCTTTTATAATATGACTATGATTAGAAGACAGAGAAAACCTTATTTAAAAAAATTGCATTTAAGGGGCATCTGGGTGACTCAGTTAAGTGTCCAACTCTTTTTTCTTTTTTTTTTTAATGTTTATTTATTTTTGAGAGAGAGACCGAGCATGAGTTGGTGAGGGGCAGAGAGGGAGACACAGAATCCAAAGCAGGCTCCAGGCTCTGAGCTGTCAACACAGAGCCCAGTGCAAGGCCCGAACTCACAAGCTGTGAGATCATGACCTAAGCTGAAGTCAGATGCTTAACCGACTGAGCCACCCAGGTGCCCCTAAGTATCCAACTCTTGATCTCAGCTCAGCTCTTGATCTCAGGGTCATGAGTTGGGCCCTGCTGGGCATGGAGTCTACTTAAAAAAAAAAAAAAAAGTAATTAAAAATTGTATTCAGATCTGAACCCAAATGGCAGGCTGATAGCGGCAATTTATTTTCTTTCTATCTCAGAATCCCATTTTGACAGGATTGATTTAAGAAGGACAGGTGACTCAGTCAGTTAAGTGTCCAACTCTTGGTCTGGGCTCAGGTAATGATCTCATGGCTCTGTGGGTTCGAGCCCCATCTCGGGCTCTGCACTGACAGCATGGTGCCTGCTTGGGATTCTCTCTCTCTCTGCCCCTCTCCCATTTGCACTTGCTCGCTCCCTCAAAATAAATAAGTAAAAACTTAAAAAAAAAAAAAAAGGGAACAAACACATCATACTGCAGGAAGATAGGAAAGGTCACTACTAGTAGATCAGAAGTTTGGAGAAACTCTCAGAAGGTAGAAGGCAGAATCTGTCTTACAACAGCATCTGTGTAATCAAGAAACCAGCAGAGAAAAGCCACAATCCAAAGTCAGCAGGAGAGCACAGAGAAATTTCAAGCTTGGGGTCAGTAACTATGGGATGTAGAAACAGACCAGAGTGAATTCTTGTTAGAAATTAATTAATGTGCTAACTCTAAAACAATTTCCTCTCCCATACCCAATATAAAGAGAGGTTGGCCTACAACGGATGCCCCTTGATCAAAACTGAAAGAATTGTTTCATAAATTTTATAAATAAGTGGGGAATCTGACTGACAAAAGGTTTTTACAGTGGGCATTAGGATCAGATCATAAAGCAGAACTGAACCTGAAGGATTGCTTCCCAGGTCTCTGTGGAACACAAAACGGGGAAATGATTAAATAGACTTATGTACCTTCATGGAAATCCAGACCAGCTTTCCTGTGCAGTCCACCCAGTTCTTCATTTGTAATTATGAATGAAAAACTAAGAGTTATGAGACCTTTTATGGAGCGCCTAGGTGGCTCAGTCAGTTAAGCTTCCAACTTTGGCTCATGGTTCATGAGTTCAAACCCTGAGTTGGGTTCTGTGCTGATGGCTTGGAGCCTGGAGCCTGCTTTGGATTCTGTGTCATCCTCTCTCTCTGCCCCTACCCCACTCACACTCTTCTCTCTCTCTCTCAAATAAGCATTAAAAAAATTTTAAAAAAAAATTGTGAGACAGTTTAATAAAACCAGCAGTATGAAAGAAAAGGGCCAAGATGAAAAACTGACCCTGAAGGAAATAAAATAAGAATAGGGCACCCTGAAAAAAAGTGCATGGAAAAGAAAAATAGAAATGCTTAGAATTTAAAAGTGTTACCAAATAACTCATTACAAGGTCTGAGTAATAAAATGGAGAAGACTGAAAGTGAAAATTGATATGGAAAATAAAAGGAATGAATATTTGAAAACACAGTGACAGAGCAGGAGAAAAAACAGACACATCTTGCTGATATTTCTAAGTTCCAAAGATAAGGGGACTAAACAATGCCTGAATGAGAAAGAGGGAGAGGAAATTATTTATAAAAAAAAAAAAAAAAAAGAAAAGAAAAAAGAACAAAACAGATTACCAACAAATGAGAATCCCACTCATTTCTGCAAATCCCACTGTTCCTGCAAAATAGACTTTGAAGAACTGACTTTTCATCTGCATTATAGAATTCTAGAAGACAACAGAAGTTGTCAGTGACAAAATTCATATGATGTATCTGCAACAAAATAATTTTGACTTATAGTTGTAATCAATGACTAATATATCAATATGTGAGGGGAAATAAATCATCTGTTGACATCTAGGAACTGAAAAATTTATATTTAAGTCTAAATAATTATTGATGGTTTAGTTGAGAGACTTAATACAGTTATAAAGAAAGGATTCTGAGAAATATAAAGGGATGGTATAAGAAAATTAATAAGAATCAAACACTAAAATTTCATATAATTTCAATAAAACATTGGGAGGGTGGGGGTAATTCTGTTAGAAGTTATATTTCATCAAAAAATAATTTGGATATCCTGGTCAGATTTCAAATTTATGCCAAAAAAAAGTGTTCTTAAAATTTTAGCCAAAAATTTAAGGGCACAACTAAAAGAAATCTTTAAAAAATCACTGAGAAAATGTGATTATTTCAGTAAAATGATTGGAAATATGAGTGTATAGCAAGAGGTAAAAGAAACTAAGCATGGCAAATATAAAACCTAACGTAAACTGTGAGAAATAAAGCCAAACGTAAAACTTCCTTTTAAACAAAAAAAGAAGGTAAAAATGAAATGTTAGATTCAGATTTATGCTTATTGCTATAGATATAATTTTATATATTTATAAAATTCAAAAATACATAGAAGGTTAAAAATAAAATATATTTGAAATCTCATCAGGGAGATGATAACAAAAAGTAAGAACGGCAAAATATTAATAGACTTCAAGGCAAATGCATTGAGGAAAACAAAATGGAACAATCGATGAGGAAAGTATAATAGTCACTACATAACAAAGACAATCTTTTATGATGAGAAATGGGCAAATCTACAATCATGATGGGAAACTTAATATCCTTCTCTCAAAGATTAATAGATCAACTAGGCAAAAAAAGGAAGTATATAAATTATTTGATTAACAGTTATTTAGCCTTTAACTTAATAAATGTATTTAACCATATAATAACTGAAAATACCCACTCTTTCAAAAAACGTTTTAGAGCATACTTTTAAATAACAATATATTTTAATAGAAACCACAAGGACTAGATTACATGCCTCTAATTAATACAAAAGACAAGACCCTAGAAAGTAACAATGAGCTTGTAGCTAATAAAAATCTCTCCATATGGACATTTTAAAATATAAAATATATTTTTAAATAACTCTTGTATTAAAGAGGAAATCAAAGAGTGATGCCAGCAAGATGGCAGACTGGAAGCTCTAGGTATATGTTTCGCCATGGGTGGATTTAAAAAACTAGACACTGATTAAAATAACTTTATGGAAGCTATTTAAATCAAAGATCTACAGTTATCAAGCAAATTCCCAATCAAGAAGAAGCTATATTCAAAACTGTAGGAAATTTCATGGCATTTTTACCCATTCTTGCCTCACCCCATTTCCTGGCACAGCACAGCACAGCCAGGAAGAGGAAGTAACAGTTAGTTCCCTGTTCCCTCCCTCTCAGGTTGGAAAAAGCAGTGTGGAACTCCTTTGCAACTTTCTAACCTATCTGTGAGCTGCCAGAGGGAATGGTTTCTTTTTCACCTGACAGTGCTTAGGTAAGAAACGGTGGCATAGCTTGGATCTCAGACTGGCAGAAGCTGTTGAAGACAGTTATAGGCTCCATTGTGCATGAAAGCAGTAGTGGGACTGTATATTACAGTAGAGGAATACAGTAGAATATATCTAAAGCCCTGAGAAGAGGCTGAGATGAGACTTTTTGAGAAAGTAAGACATTTAAAAGCAGTTGTGTATACAGGAGATATCGGAAAACATACACACCCAAACACACAGGCCCTGGTCACACATAACCAAAAATGACCAAAGACATTTTTAAAAAAAAAAATTTCTTTTAACGTTTATTTATTTTTGAGACAGAAAGAGACAGAGCACGAGTGGGGGAGGGTCAGAGAGAGGGAGACACAGAATCTGAAACAGGCTCCAGGCTCTGAGCTGTCAGCACAGAGCCTGACGCAGGGCTCGAACTCGCAGACCGCGAAATCATGACCCTAGCTGAAGTCGGCCGCTTAATGGACTGAGCCACCCAGGCGCCCCCCAAAGACAATTTTTTAATCCTTACCCTGAGCTCCTCCTAAGACTCAAGACACAGCCTGCTAATTAATGAATGTTTTCAATAATAGTTTGCAAAGACTAGAAGTGGCTGTTTTATCAATGGCCAATTTTTAACAAAAAAGTGCAAGGCATTTATAAAGAAAGAGGAAAACTAGCTCATTCAGAGGAACAAATTAAATCTTCTAAAGAAACACAGGCATAGGACTTACTTAGACAAAGAGTTTAAAACAACTATCTTAAAGAGCTAAATGGAAACATGGACAAAGATCTAAAGGAAATCAGGAAAACAACATATAAACAAAATTAAAATATTAGCAAAGAGATTGAAATTATGTATATATAAAAAGAACAAAGTAGAAACTCTGAACCTGAAAAATATAATAACTGAAATGAAAAAAAAAAAAGTCACTAGAAAGAGTCATCATATTTGGGCAGCAAACTTGAAGACAGATCTGAGGAGCAACAAACCAAAAGACTGAAACAAAGGAAAATGAACATAGCTTAAGGAACTCATGGAACATATTAAATAGACCAATATACACATTGTAGGAATACAAAAGAAGAGAGAGAAAAGGGCAAAGCTATTTGAAGAAATAATGACTGAAATAATAATGTCCCAAATTCAAAGGAAAGACATTAATATGCAAATACAGGAAGCTTAACAAACACCAGGTAGGGTAAACCCAAAGAAACTCACACTGAGACAGGTTATTAAACTGGAGAAAGCCTAAGACAGATCTTGAAAGCAGCAAGAGAAAAATGACCTGTAGTGTACAAGAGATTCCCCAGTAAGATTATTAGCAGATTCTCAACAGAAACCTTACAAGCCAGGAGGCAGTAGAATGATATGTTTAAAGTGCCAAAAGAAAAGAACATCAACAAAGAATTCTATATCAGCCAAAACTGTCCTTCAAAACTGAGGGAGAAACTAAAACATTCCCAAACAGAAGCTTAGTTTATTACCACTCGACCTTCCCTAAAAGAAATGCTGAGAGACTTTCAAGTTCAAATTAAAGGACTCTAACAGTGACTCAAAACCATATAAAAATATAAAATTCTCCAGTGCTTGTAAGTACAGGGACAAATATAAAAAACCAGTCTTACTATTATTTTGGTTTATAAATCTTTTTATTTTTTATTTAATGAAACTTTCACAGTTTGTTTTTAAGTTTATTTATTTATTTGAGAGGTGAGTAGGGGCAGAGAGAGTCCCAAGCAGGCTCCACACTGTCAGCACAGAGCCCAACATAGCACTCAAACTCATGAACCATGAGATTATTACCTGAGCCAAAATCAAGAGTTGGACACTTAACTGACTGAGAGCCACCAAGGCACCCCTATTTTTTTTTTTTAATTTAAAAGACAAATGCAGGGGCATCTGGCTGGCTTAGTTGCTAGAGCATGCAATCTTGATATCGAGGTTGTGGGTTCAAGCCCCACGCTGGGTGTTGAGATGACCTAAAAATAAAATCTTTTAAAAACATAAAATACAAATGCATGAAAATAAATATAAGTCTGTGTTAATGAATAATGAATATAAAGATTTAATTTTTGATATCAAGCACAAAAGTGGGGACAAAGCTGCAAAGGAGAGTTTTTTTTAATGCAATTGAAGTTAAGTTGGTATCAGTTTAAGGTAGGTTGTTATAACTTTTGGATGTTATATGTAATCTTCATAAAGAAAATATCTATAAAATATACACAAACAGAAATGAGAAAGGAATCAAAATGTGTCACTAAAAAATCACATAACACAAAGGAAGGCAGTAATGGAGGAAATGAGGGACAAAATAGCCATGAGACATACAGAAAACAAAATAGCAAAAGTAAATCCTTCCCTGTCATTAATACATTTAAATGTAAATGGACTAAACTTTCCAATCAAAAGATACAGATTGGCAGGATAAATTAAAAACAACAACACACGGCATGCCAACTTACACTGTCTGTAAGACATTCACTTTAGGCTTAAGGACATGCATGAGTTAAAAGTGAAAGGATGAAAAAAGATATTTCATCCAAATAGTAACCAAAAGACAGGAGGGGTAGTTATTCTAATATCAGACAAAATAAACTTTAAATTGAAAACTGTTATAAGAGACAAAGGATGGTATACAATGATAATTCTTGATTTAACTCACCCAGAAGCTATGACAATTAGAAACATAAATATACCAAATAAACAAGCTGTAAAATATATAAAGCAAACATTGACAGAATTGAAAGGAGCAGTACACAACTCTACAATAGTAGTAGGAGACTTCAGTACTCCACTCCAATAATGGATAGAACATCTGGTCAGAAGATCAATAAGGGAAGAAAGACTCAAATGACATTATAGACAAGTTGGACCTAACAGATGTATACAGAATTCTCCTTCCAACAATTTTAGATTGTTGAAATTACACATTTTTCTCAAGTGCACAGGGAACATTCTTCATGATAGGGCATATGTTAGGTTACAAAACATGTTAATAAATTTTAAAAGATTGAAATCTTATAGTTTCTTTTCCAAACACAATAGAATGAAATTAGAAATCAACAGCAGAAGAAACACTGGAAAATCCACAGATATGTTGAAATTAAACAACATGCTCTTAAACATCCAATGGTTTTAAAAAGAAATCACAAAAGAAATTAGAAAATTGAGAAAAAGGAAAAGGAAAACACAACATATTCAAACTTATTCAATGCAGTGAAAGCAGTGCTAATTTTATAGCTGTAAACACATTAAAAAAGAAGAAAGGTCTGAAATCAACTCTCCAACCTTATACCTTAAGGAGCTAGAAAAAGAACAAATTAAACCTAAGGCTACCAAAAAGAAGTAATAAAGATTAAAACAGAGATAAATGAATGAATGAATGAATGAATGAATAAAACAGAGATAAATGAAATAGACTAAAAACAATAGAAAACAACAAAACCATGAGCTCTTTTTCAAAATGATCAACAAACTTGACAAACCTTTAGCTAGATTGACTAAGAGAAGACTGAAATAACTGAAATCAGAAGTGGAAAAGGAGATGTTACTATTGATGTAATAGAAAGGATTATAAGTACTATAAATGGTTGTACATCAGCAAATTGGATGATCCAGATGAAATGAACAAATTTGAAGAATCATATAACTTACCAAGACTGAAACATGAATAGAAAATATGAATAGACCAACAACTAGAAGATTGAGTCAGTAATTAAAAATGCCAACAAACAGAAACCCATGACCAGATGGCTTCACTGATGAATGCTACCAAGCATTTAAAAAAGAATTAATACCATTCTTCCCCAGGCTCTTACAAAAACTTGAACACTTCCTAGTTCATTCTGTGAGGCCAGCATTACCCTGATATCAAAGCTTTTATGGGATAGGCAGTGTTATCCTACCCATTTTACATGTGAGGAAGCTGAGGCACAACAAACTGAAGTAACTTCCTGAAGTTCACAGCCAATGATTTCAGGATCTGAATTCATGTGCTCTTACAGAGCCCACACTTTTAACCAGCTTCACACCACTGACAGCTATCAAGGAAAATAATCAAATGAAAGCCACAGAAAAATTTTCACTGTTTTTTCTTTTGTCTTAACAACATATCAAGACCTAATATCTTATTTATCCTAGGGTACTGTGTTTTGGTATTCAGTTTAAATTAGTTGACAATAAAACTAAATGAACAACATTTCTCTTTTCCTCCCTGCCCTTCAATTGACTCTGGCAGGAGGAACCAAGAAGAGAAAGGAAGATTTTGACCTCCATACTGTATAACAGTTCCTCAGTATTTATTTTCATGGTAAAAAGACCATCACTTAACATATCCCTACTTAATGGACCCAGAAATTGATGAAGCGTAGGTCTAAAGTAACATGTTGTAAGGTTTTTGTCTGTAAAGAATATGTATTCTAACAGAATCTATCCTATTTACGAAACAATTGAGCACACACCCAAAAGACATTTCCTTAGATCCATTTAAGAAAATTTTTAAGACTCAAATCCACTGTGAGAAAGAAAGGGATTATGAGCCCCTCTATATCTAGCCTGCAGGATGAAAGTGAGAATGCAGTAATTTACCCTGGCTGTGCTGTGCCACAGGAGGCCCCATCCCCCTCTTCGGGTACAAGATGTGCAGGGCCCCAAGATACCCTCTAGTAGTAAAGTCCTTTTCTATTGGGAGTACTGTACTGGGTGAAGGAGGCAGAGAGAACATCAGATACAACAACATAGAGTGACTTTATAAGGTCAAAAATTTTCACCAAATTTTAAGTTTCAAACATCAGTACCCCCATTCCCCAAATTGTGACTGTAACAGGTATTTAGAAACAGGTGACCTCATTCAGAGCATCCAGTAAAGCCTTCACCTGAGAAAAGCTGCCAGGACTAGATCTATGGTTCACCAGTGGGGTGAATCAGTGCTAATTATTGTCTTAATTAGCACTATAGTCCCTGTCAAAATACCTGGGCTGCTGGTAGTCAACTGAGTGAATTCAGACAGAAATCTCTGTGAAATTAGGGCTGCAAATCTGCACTTCTGTAGGCTTGCCAGTTGATTAACTGTTCCCCTCCCCCACTTTAAACAGTGTCATTGAGGTATAATTAACATAGAACATATGCACATATGTTTCTTTTTAAGTTAAAATTTTAGTAATGTTCCTTTTTTTTTTTTGTCCTAAAGCTACCTCCTGAACCTTGCTTCACTTGTTTTTTGTTGGCTTTTTTAAAAATCTTTTTACAGAGCATATAGGATTGGGCAATGCAGGGATGTGAAAGTGTTTAGGCTGATATCTTTGGGAACTGTGGAGGAGATCATGTACTTACGACAGGTATACAAGCAGGTAAATATATTTCCCTTTTCCAGATTAAGAAGTAAACATTTGTCTATATCAAAACTTCCAGAAATTTGTGTAAAAATGTTTTTAATTTCGTTTTAACTGTAATATGGAATTTAATAAGATTATGAAATATACTGTAGAATAAATCCTGTAAAACAGATTCTTACTTTCATTGAATTTTAGAGCTGAAATTTTCTTTGAGTAGTGCTTCTTGAGCTTTAATGTGTACATGAATTACTTAGGGATGTTCAAACTACAGATTCTAATTTAGTAGCTCTGGGTGGAGCCCAAGATTCAAATTTTTAACAAGCTCCCAGGAGTGCCAACACTACTGCAGACTATAATTTGAGTAGCAAGGTCACAGCTTCCCAGCCTGTGGGCCAAGACATAATGATATGCTACAGGCGGGACACAGGTGCACCGATACAATGATCACACAGCTCTCTGGACGGCAAGATTACCTAAACTGACTTCCAACCTTAAGAAACCTTTCCAGGTAGGTGTTCATATGTTACCCTTTTCCGTGTGTACCATGACATGAAGAAAACTGGGGGAAAATGCCTTAAAGATATCTAATGCAATCATCTCATGTTGTACATAATGAAACTGGGACCCAGGGATACCCCAGTAAATGGAATTATAGGAATACAACACAAGTGTATTAACTACTGTGCTGGTGCTTTTTTTAGTGTTCATCTGAAATTGCATTAACTCTTTAATATCCTTACGGTATTAATTACTTCACCATGTATATCTCTAAATAAAATTTATTTAGTTTATAATTGCTCACTTGAGAAGATCTGGAATGAGGCTCAAGTTTAATTATAAATGTTAAATTTGAATTACTCCCTATATATTCTGTTGGCATCTATTTAAGAGCAAACATCTGCCACATGTGGTGGTAGTTAACCTAAGAATGATCCAATCTTAAATTTATGCTATTTTCTTAATTCTAAAAATGGAATTGTACACAGCAGTTTTTGTTTTTTCTTAAAGCACTTAGCTGTATAAGAAACCTTTCATCTTTTTTGTTCTTGGGTATAGCACAACTACTTGAACATTATTTTGTTCAGGTATATTTAACCAATCTTGGGAAAAAGTAGGACATTATTCTTTTCATCTTAGGAGTAGTTCTTTAGAATACTGTCTTGGACTTGTCACAAGTAAGAGTCTTTCTTCAATCATGTAGTAATTTTTCTCAGTCCCATTACTTTATATACATTTGCCTATTTATCTCACTCATTTATTGAAATAAGATGGCCTATTATATATTACTAATAACAAAAAGGCTTCAGAAGATGAGGATAATGTCAGTTTTCAGAACTTTGTATGCTTTAGGTGCTTATTAAAATATTTTTTTAAGTGTGAGCCATTTAGGGAAGGTTCAGCCATACAACTTGGTAGGCACAAATAAAGATAATATGGCAGTTGTGTGTGGAAAAGGCAGTAGATGTGATTGAAAGATTGGCGTTTGAACCAAGTAGGGTCTGTCTTTACAGATGTAATCAAGTTAAAATAAGGTCATACTGGATTAGGGTGGACCCTAATCCAGTGACTGATACCGTTATAAGAGGGAAATCTGGATACAGACCGACACAGAGGGAGAATGCCAGGTGATGAAGGAGGCAAGGATTGGAGTGGTGCAGCCACAAACCAAGAATGCCAAAGATTGGCAGCAACCACTAGACATTTGGAAAGGTCTTCACTTGGAACCTTCAGAGAGAGTGTGGTCCTGCCAGCATCTTGATTACAGACCTTTAGCCTCCACAACTGTGAAAGAATAAATTTCTGTTGTTTTAAGCCACCCAGTTTGTGACATTTTGTTAAAGCAGTCTTAGGAAACCAATACAGTCTTAAAGGCAGATATTGTAAATTTAACTACGTTTTTAATGTGAAACTTATGTATGACAGAGGAACAACAAGCCAAATTTAAAAAGTGTCTAGGAAGAAAGTTTCCACATATGATAAACAAAGGATTAGCATCTATAATACATAAAGAACTTCCACAAATCAATAAAAAGACTATAATTTTGCATTTTATTGAAGAAAAAACACAAATGGTTAACCCATATATGAAAAGATGCTTAACCACAGTTGTAATTTAGAAATATAAAATAATAATGTGTACACATATTCTGCAAAGACTTAGTGAGGTTGTGTATGAGTGTGTGTATGTTTAGGGAGGCAGGGAGATCGGTGATATTCATTATTGGTGAGGGTATTTGTACAGAGATACTCATATACTACTTTCGAGAATATAACTTGGTACACTGATTTTACAGGCTAATATCACAACATATTAAAACACATAGTACGTTCTCCCTATCTACCTTACAGAAATATTCTCACATATGCACAGTGAAAGATGACAAGGATTTATATTTGGTATTGTTAGTATTTGTTTAAGAAATGAAAAAAGAAACAGCCTTAATGTCCAATAATAACAATGGTAACATAAATTCTGATACACCCAATAGCAGAAAAAAAAACTATAGAGCAGACATACTGATCTGGCAAGATCTCCAAGACATTTCTAAGTGAGATTAAAACAAAACAAAACAACACAACTTGCAGAACAAGTATATCAGTTATGTTGATGCATAAAGTTATCTCTGTATATGTATATAAATAGCTCTAACTGCACTGAAAAAGATCTAGAAGGATATACCTAAATATTACAGTGTTGCTAAGACTGATAAAGGATGATCTGTATTATTCAAAGGGAAATTTCACTTTGATGTTTTTGTTCGTATTTGTTGTGATAATGCATTCAGACATTTTATACTTTTAAAAAATAAAAACATCACTTACATAGCAACTGTCTTCATGTTTGGAGCATAATCTAAAGTTTGGCATTCAGAAATTCACCTTTTATTTTTACATGTGTACATGTATATATGAAAGGTGAATATATATGTGTGTGTGTATATATATATTATGTATATATATATATATATATATATGTAATTTAGAAATATATTTGTATTGGCAGAAGAAGTCCAAGAATACCACAAAGAACACCCAATTAACTTCACCCAAATTTCCCAGTTGTTAACATTTATCACGTTTGCTTTTCTCTTTCCCTCAGCCATGATCTTTATTTATTTTTCTGAACCATTTGAGAGAAAGTTGCAGATTTATCACCTCTAAGTTCTCTAGTGTGTATTCCCTCCAAAGGACACTCTCCTGTTTAGATGTACATATAAAAATAGTTTTATGCATTCTAAACATTCAATTTTGTGTGTTGTTTTGCACTTGCTTTGTCCCCCTATTACCCTCTCCAGAATGCAGTTATCCAAATCAAGAAATTAACATTGATACAACATTACCTTGTAAACCACAAAACTCATTCAGATTTCACTAACTTTCCTGGCAATTTCTTGTCTCCTTTTTCCTTTCTGGTTCAGGATCCAATCCAGGATCATGGTTACCAACTTTTTCTTTTCATGTCTGTTTAGTTTTCTTCAACTGGAGTAGTTACCCAAACCCCCTTTGTCTTTCATGACCTTCACAGTGTTAAAGAGTAAGGCCTTGGGGCACCTGGGTGGCGCAGTCGGTTAGGCGTCCAACTTCAGCCAGGTCACGATCTCGCGGTCCGTGAGTTCGAGCCCCGCGTCAGGCTCTGGGCTGATGGCTCAGAGCCTGGAGCCTGTTTCCGATTCTGTGTCTCCCTCTCTCTCTGCCCCTCCCCCGTTCATGCTCTGTCTCTCTCTGTCCCAAAAATAAATAAACGTTGAAAAAAAAAAAAAGAGTAAGGCCTTTCCTTGTGTTAGCTCTCTTTTAAATTAGGTCCATTTGATGTTTCCTCATGTCCAGATTCAAGCCAGGAACCCCTGGCAAGAATAGTACAGAAATGACTCTATGTTCTTCTCATTGCGTTGGTCAGAAGGCACCTGGTGATGACCTGTCCCACCATTGGTGATGCTAACCTTGATCACCAGTTTTGTGCCTGCCAGCTTTCTTCACTGCAGAGTCACCATTTTTTCCCTTAGTAAGTATTTTATGGGGACATCCTCTGAGACTATGCCAATATCCTGTTCCTTGTCAAGCCCGTACCCATCAGCCCTAGCATTCACTGATGAAACCCACCTGAATCAGCCACCACTGTGATGATTGCCAGATGGTGATTTTTTAATTTCCATGATTCCTTCTTTATTTGTTGCTATTCTACCATAAAAAAGAGCTTGCCCTTCTTTTCTATTTATTTAATATATTTGGACTCAGGGGATATTAGTAATATTACTCTATATTAGTAATGGATTACATTACAACCTATTGAATATCACTGTGTATTTTGGTGTTCAAACTGTCTCAGTTTTGTCCAGTGAGAACCCCTTCAAGCTGGCCTCTGTGTCATTTGTCAAGCCTCCATCATTCATTATGCATGTCCTTATGGTGGTAGGCTGAGTAATGTTCTCCCAAAGATATCTACATCAAATCCACCTGGATTCTCTGGGTGGGCCAATGTAATTACTAAAGGGAGTGGGAGTATGCAGGAGGATCAGAGAAAGGAGAGAAGGAGATGTGACAGCAGAAGCAAGGGGTCATAGAGGATTATATGAAGATGCCATGCTACTGCCTTGAAGATGGAAGAAGGGGCCATGACTTTTTAACATGGGGAACACTACTTTTCTTTCTACCTCTTGCGTATCCTGAATGTTGTTAGGAAGAAATCCAAACATTTTGTATCCTTGAATGGGTTTTTCTTAAGCCAGAAACTAAGCTACATTTTCCAATTACTGACTTTTTTCCCTTCCCCTCTTTAATTCCAACCCTATTTTTTATAACAGCCTACAGATGGATGTATCTGACCTTCACTTTTAGGGGAGCCACTTTGAAAAACTTCTTTTAAGTATAAAACAATGTGCCTTTTATAAATTTTGCAATAAAGTAGGGAACTTCTAAAGATTCAGATTAATGCTTACAAATTGGTGATTACATTAAGTAGTTGCAGTGTGACAATACAGTGTTTAAGAAAGAGTCAGGAGCAAAGAGTGAAATCATCTGGACTATCAGGTACATCAGTTGCTATTGTTGTGATTCCATATTTCCTGGACTATAGTCCATGTTTCTGGGGCATTGAAACCAACTGATCAACTTGGATGTTGATTCAAAGCTTCCTCAAACTAAGGTCCCAAGGATCTTGTTTTATTTTTATTATTTTTTAATGTTTATTTTTGTGAGAGAGAGAGAGAACACATGTGTGCATGCATGTGAGCAGGCACAGAGAGAGAGGACAGAGGATCTGAAGTGGGCTATGTGCTGACAGCAGAGAATCTGATGCGGGGCTTGAACCCATAAAACTGTGAGATCATGACTTGAGCCAAAGCCAGATACTCAACTGACTGAGCTACCCAGGTGCCCCTCAAGGGTCTTGTTTTAAAAAGGACATCTTGGAGGCACCTGGGTGGCTCAGTCGGTTGAACATCCGACTTTGGCTCAGATCATAATCTCATGGCTTGTGGGTTCAAGCCCCGCGATGGGCTCTGTGCTGACAGCTCAGAGCCTGGAGCCTGCTTCAGATTCTGTGTCTCCCTCTCTCTCTGCCCCTCCCCCATTTGCGTGCATGTGCGTGCGCTCTCTCTCTCTCTCTCTCTCTCTCTCTCTCAAAAATAAACGTTAAAAAATTTCTTTAGTAAAAAATAAAAGGGAACTCCTGGAGATGAGAACTTGTTACAAGTATAAATTTTGAATTCAGCCAAATCCAGGTATAAATTCTAGAAATGACACTTCTTTTTTTTTTTTTTTCAACGTTTATTTATTTTTGGGACAGAGCATGAACGGGGGAGGGGCAGAGAGAGAGGGAGACACAGAATCGGAAACAGGCTCCAGGCTCTGAGCCATCAGCCCAGAGCCTGACGCGGGGCTCGAACTCACGGACTGCTAGATCGTGACCTGGCTGAAGTCGGACGCTCAACCGACTGCGCCACCCTGGCGCCCCTAGAAATGACACTTCTTGGCTAGACAGCTGTGAGAAGGCACTTAATTTCTCCAAACTTTAGTCTTTATTTCCAAAAAGAAAATAGCAATGTCTTATAGGGTTGTAGGCATTAAATGAGAGAATGTACAAATGCTACACAGGTAGTAAGTATTCAAAAAATAAATATTATTAATAAGAATTATTTCATGGGCACCTCAGTGGGTTGAGCATCTGACTCTTGATTTTGGCTAGGGTCATAATACCAGGGTTGTGGGATTGAGCCCCATGTTGCATTGGGCTCCATGCTGAGTGTGGAGCCTGCTTGAGATTTTCTCTCCCTCAATCTCTCTCTCTCTCTCTCTCTCTCTCTCTCTCTCTCTCTCTCTCTTTCTCTCTCTTTCTCTCTCCCTCCTCCCTCCCTCTTTGCTTCACCCCCCCTCCTTCCCTCTCCCTCTCCCTCTCCCCCCTTCCTGCTTCCTCTGCCCCTCTCCCCCACTCATACGTGCTTACACACACTCCCTCAAATTAAAAAAAGAATTATTTCAGTTGCCTATAGTAATTTAGTATAGTGCAAAGCAACTTCTTACTAATCCTTACATTAACAACAGACTACAGTTATTTTCCACTCTGTGCATTCTTTGTTTCTTTCAAGAAATTTTAAAGTGTACATGGGGTTAATCAGATTATATTTAGCAAAATATCTAGCAAATAAAGAAATACACTAATGTTACTAAAGTGATAGATGTCCTTCAGGATTCCTTCTGTATTTCAAATTGTTTCAAAGATGCCTAAATGTTTCTAAACAGTGATTGGGTTTTGCTGTTAGTTGACAGTATAACAATGGCTACAATTAGGGTTTGATACTAATGTGGTTATCGTGTAGTTACTAAGTTATAATTTAACTTTGGTGAAATAGTGATGATTTTTGTCAGTTTTAGTAGTTCCTATTGTAATGAGTCTAGAAAGGAGAAAAGTGTATTCAGATGTATTACATGCCTTTATCATTAAACATTTTACATCAAGTGAATATTGCATAGCAATGGGATCTTGACTCGGTTGGTAGAACACAGATAAAATAGGAAATGTAAGATCTCTTCTTCAATAAGACTGGCCAGTTTATTATTATTTATTTCGCCATAATGGCAACATCTGCCAGCGAAATTAAAATAAAATTTCCTCCCTAAGGAGATTCTGCCTGCTCCAGCTAAAGCTGTGTATATACAGAGAATGCCAGGAAATTCTGACATATTGTTGGAGCAAACACTTCAAAAATATCTTGTGTTTTTTTTCTGTTTTAGCAACTTCACTGTGTGGTGGTTGGAAGTGAAAATGCCAAGCGATATTTTGAAGCAGTTCAAGGATCAAAAGAACATCGAGGAGAGCTTTTTGGGGTTTATAATCTGTTCAAACTAAGGTCCCAAGCATCTTGTCTTACAAGGGACATCCTGGAGGTGTGAAATTGTTGCCTGACATTTTCAGTACTATTTTAAATACAATTTTCTCCAACAGGAACCTTGAAATATAACTGCTGGTATCTTTTCAAAGAACTTTGGGGTTTTCTTGTAAAAAATGCCTTGTGTTTACAATTTCTACTTTTAGAAATAGGAAATGAATTATTGTACCTCAAAACTAAGATTTCCCCATGCATAGTTATAAGTAATGTCTGCACACAAATACAGATACATATAGTACATAGTATGACCTCCCAAGACCATTTTCAGACTGGCAGAGAGAAATGTAGTATTTTGAAAACAGCTGCTAAGTCAGGAACTTAAAAAAGAGAGAGAGAGAGAGAGAGAGAGAGAGAGAGACTTTCCTAAATAAACAAAATTATAAAATGTGTTTTGATTAAAAGTTACCAAATACTCCCTGAGATGCACTCTCATGTCTCATGGAGATTTTTGTTTTCTGTTCCCAATAAAAATTCCACACCAATATTTCAAACTCTCCCAGTTGTGTTCATCCTTAGCATACAGATGTTTCTTATTCTTCAAACAGAAATTTATATCTTTTTTAATTGCTTAAATTCTTTGATATACCAGAATACTATAGATATTAACCTATTTTCCAGTTGATACTGATATGAGTATCATAAAATCCTGGAATATCATATGTATCATCTTCCTTTTCATATAGATGAGGAAAATGAGCCTCAGAAAACTCAAGGATGTTTCCCTTAGCTTTTCAAAAGCTTCACGTACTTGCTTGATTTAGTGAGTTTCATAAAAACAGTTATTGGTCCCTGTCCTTAAAGAACGTAGACCATCTTGATGAGAGGTGAAAGAGAACACTTACATAATGAACATGTAACATCAATAAGCATGGTAAGCAAGATGGCTAAGAGGAAGACGTGTATCGTATGTATTCTGTGAATATTGCAACTATTACACAGTGTCTGGTGTATACTGCTGAATTTTTATTTTATAGTAACTATTTGATTTGAATTGAGTGGCCCATTTAAAGTCCTCCTGTCTTGAGTTGCCTGTCTGGCTCAGTCAGAAGTGCATGCGACTCTTGATCTTAAGAGTCGTGAGTTCAAGGCCCACGTTGGGTGTAGAGATTACTTATAAATAAATAAATAAAAATAAAGTCCCCCTGTCTTTTTCTTGTTTTGAGTATGCTGTCTATTTCATGGACTTCTTCTTTCCCATTTCTCTTTTATAATCAGTAGCCTTGTTAGTATTCCAGTATTCCAGGCCACCCCTCAGATCCTACTTCCATCTCAGAGTACTACCCAACATACCAACTTGTATTTGTGTTTTCCATTTGAAATTATTATCTATAAAATATGTTAGCATTATATTACTTCTCCTGTTTTCTCTTATTTATCAAATAGTTGAGTCCTCTATTTTAACAGAATAGCAACCTATTCCTCAAGCAAATGTTAAGTAAGACATTCAGTATGTCAAGTTATTAAATGGGATGTTCGCTTGTTTTCTGGTTGTCCTAAGTATATCTTGTTTCTCCTCCAGGATTGTTGACTAATGACAGGACTGTCCATGTTTTACATTTTTCTTGTGGCAAAATGTGCTTAACTTCTTGCCAGGCACATTATCAGCACCGCGATATTTGTTGAGTAAGAATTTAAAATTATTCAGGCCAGGTGCTTACAGGGCAGTCTTTTGCTCTAAAAAAATAAAGTAAAATAAATAAATAAACAATAAATAGCAAAATTATTCAGGCCTCATTAGATTCATGCTGCTTTTGGCCAAACAGTGTTTTAAAATATTCTAAGCCCTGTATAATGGAAGCATATATCACAAAGTAAAATAATTATTTTACTTCCTGTGAGACATTTTTAATTTTTAAAGGCTGTAGAAAATCCCTTTTAAAATGTTTTAAGATGTAGAAATTTTAATTTAAAGAACACTTTTAACCTGATGATTTCCAGACAGTTCTTTTTTTTTTTTTTTCCATTTGGTTGGTTAGTTTTGGTTTTTTCGTTTTTTTCTTTTTCATTTATTCACTTAACTTCAAGTTATTTAGTTAACATACAGTGTGGTATTGGTTTCTGGAGAAGAACCCAGTGATTCATCACTTACATACAACACCCAGTGCTCATCCCACCAAGTGTCCAGGCAGCTTAGTTCTACTTTGCACTAACTTTGTTATCTTTGTCATGGTCCTGCTTTAGAGACAGATATTGAGAGCTAATTTCACAAATATTTACTGAGTGTATGCCAAGTGTCAAGTACTATATATCATAGAGCTAGGCATACAGAAATGAATGAACTAGACAGAAAGCTCTACTTACTGAAAAACTTACCTTCTATTTGGGGGAAACAAATAAGCAGAAAAAATCATGATGCATAGAGTTTATTATGATGACAGGCTCTGAAGGTAAAAATAGAGCAGGTAGAAGATGAATGACTTCTGGAGATCGAATGCCCAGCATTGTGATTATAGTCAATAACACTGTATTATATGTTTCAAAATTGCTAATGGACTAGATCTTAAATGTTCTCCCCACAAAAAAGAAATGCTAATTCTATGGCATAATAGAGGTGTTAGCTAAAACTATGGTGGTAATCATATGGCAATATATAAATGTATCAAAACACGTTATACACCTTAAACGTACACAGTGTTATATGTAAATTGTATCTAATTTTTAAAAATAGAGCAGGGAAGGGAAATTGGGAGACTGTCAAGGAAAGAGCATTGCGGTTTTAGATGGAGTAGCCAAGGAAGCGCTCACTGTGAGGTTGCAACTGATTCTTTGAGGAGATGGCAGGAGGAAGATGTATTCTACGTAGAGGGACAAATGCAAAAGCCCCGCAGGACAAACATGTCCAGCCTAATTTCAAAACGGCAGGAAGGCCCTAGTGGCTGGAGTGGAGTGAACAAGAGAGCAAGAGATGGGGCCGGAGAGATGAGAGGAAGCCAGACCACGTGAGAACTTTGACTTTGAGTGAGACAAAAAGCAATTAGAGGGTTCTGAACAGAAGAGAAACATAGTCTGACCTATACATCTAGATTAAATATTACGAATTAGGCTATCAAAGTACAAAAGCAGAAGCAAAATGCCAGGTAGGAGGATACTGCAATAATCTAGCCAAGGGATGATGGTGATTTGGACTAGAGCCATCATGGTAGATGGTGTGAGAAGTGATTGGAGTCTGAATATATTACTCAGGTGTCGCTGACAGGATTTGCTGATGGATTAGGTATAGGGTCTGAGAAAAAAAGACGAGTTAAGGATGATACCAACATGGTTGGCCTGAGAAACAAAAGACCAGAGTTGCCATTTACCTTTCACAAGAGGGTTGCGACAGGATTGAGGATTTCTGGTGCTCCCTGTTCCATGTGTTGTAGCCATTTGGCTTCTGTTGAAAGAATAAAGGCAGTACTGGGAAGCAGACCCCCTCCCCCGCCCCCCCCACCTCCCTTGCAGTAACAGCCTCTAGGCATTGAGAGAAAATATCTCAACAAACTATTTATCGTTCTCCGGAGTTCTATAGGGGAGATTCTCACTTGTTGCCCTGGATACCAGGTGGCTGGAATCATGCCACCAGTACATATGCGTATCTGTAAGTTGGGCATTTGTAACTCAGGTGATGGTAGTGGTTATTTCCCCTTGTTCAGTAAACAGAGCCTTAAATAGAAAAATAAATTGATTTCCTTTTGAAGGAGAATTTAATATTCTAGAATCTAGTCCATTAAATACCTTTGCCGAATGATACACCAAAAGCTTTAAAAGCATAAATACTTTCCCAAAGGATGTAGCAAGACTGTTACACAATTAAGATCTTTTTTTTTTTTTAGTTTCATATTAGATGGTCCTTTTCATTTGATGTCTGTTACACTGAAGGAATCAATAAACATTTTAATGAATATGAACTAGATGAATAAAATAAATTTTAATGAATATGACCTAAATAAATACATTAGCAATATAGGCTAGAATATCAAGTTCCCAATATTCAACATTATCTGTAGTGTTTGAAATGTTGTTAATATGTCCTTACCTTAGCTATTGTGTAGACATAGTTACTATGGATATTGTTACTGGGTAAATATGTAACATTGTTTTCATTCTCCCTCCTGTACCAGAACTTTTAGTGGAGTTGGCTGGAAAGTATTATTTTCTAACTTAGAAGCTTTAATACAAGAAATAAGTGTACTTTATGAGCCCAGCACACTTCCACTGTACCTCTGTACTACCTAAAATTATGAGCATTTTAAAATGTTATATAAACTATATATGAGTTTATATTAATTAACAAAATGGAAAAATAACATTAAGAAAGCTGAAGTAGGGGCGCCTGGGTGGCTCAGTCAGTTGAGCATCCAACTTTGGCTCAGGTAATGATCTCATGGTTTGTGAGTTTGAGCCCAGCTTCAGGATCACTGCTGTCAGCCTGTCAGTGCAGAACCCACTTGGGATCCTCTGTCCACCTCTCCCGGCCCCTCCCCTGCTCACATTTCTCTCTCTCTCTCTCTCTCTCTCTCTCTCTCTCTCTCTCTCTCTCTCAAAAAATAAATTAAAAAAAAAAACTTAAGAGAGAAAGTTAAAGCAGTGCTCACTTGGACAGCACATATACTAAAATTAGAACAATACAGAGAAGATTAGCATAGACCTGCACAAGGATGGCACACCAATTTCTGAAGCATTTCGTGTTAGAGACAGAGCTAAAGCAAGCTGCTCTCAGTTAATCCTAAGCTTTAGCATGCCATCGCTATTGTTTATTTGGTTGTTTTTACCCCATAATTTACAATTCTTTTGCATTCTTTTAGAGAGAAGGCAAAGTGGAAGCAGGTATCATGACAGCCACAACATGGTTGGAAGAGGAGCCTCCAGTACACAAACAAGAAACGGTAAGCAATTTTTTAATCTGTAGCCTACAACTGCTATAAAACATGTACTGGGATAATTTTAAGCTATTTTTCCTTTTTCTTTATTTTTCAACGTGTAAAGAAAAAAGTCTTTGAAAAAAAAGTCGAGGATACAAAGCAGACGATCAGTAAAATTAATAGTTTAGGTGAATTTGGGGCGTCTGGGTGGCTCAGTCAGTTAAGCATCTGACTTCAGCTAGGTTATGATCTCGCAGTTTGTGAGTTTGAGCCCAGCCCATCGGGCTCTCTACTTTCAGTACGGAGCCCACTGCAGATCCTCTGTCCCCCGCTCTCTCTGCCCCTCCCCTGTGCGTTCACGTGCCCTCTCTCTCTCTCTCTCTCTCTCTCTCTCTCTCTGTTTTAAAAATAAACTTTTAAAAATCTTTAAAAAATAATTTAGGCTAATTTAACATTTCGTATCATAAGAACACATTCGGGAACAATCACCAGTCATTTGCGTCCATACTAGAATTTTAACTATACCAAACTGTAAATCCAAAATTAAATATGCCAATCAAACCTAACTAATTGTTAATTAAACAACAAATTAAATAGAAAAATAGTAATCATTGTGTGTTTAAGATTCTTAAATCCAAACATCAGAATTACTCTCTGACAGATATTTTATTTTATTTGCATCCTTGATCTTGTGATCTTTCTGGTAGTTTGTCATCTCACATACTACAAACTCTATATTATCATCATAAGCCCTCTTCAGAAGTAAAGAATGTACATGTAGAAGGTTTTTTCTTATTTTGTTTATGTTGTTGCTGGGTTTTTCTTGCATTTAGGAATTTAAGTGTAAATTCATACCAGCTTAGTAATTTGGAATATTGGTGAATGTTTTTCTAACTTTATAGAAATATACAAACATCAAATGTATTACTGGATTTCTAAAAAGGAGTAATTACTGGATAATAGTTTCTCCAAATTGTTTACTAATAAAGCCTCAGCTTTAGGAAAGTGAAGGATGTATTTAGCTCCAATTGATATAAAAATAATAAATACTGGATTTAAATTTGTAGCAAATTTTACTTCAAAATATCTAAAATATTTTCTTTATTTCTGATGGGCAGGATCCTATCAGATCTTATTTTTAATCTATTAGAACCATTTTCCGGTTGTGAATCCTTTACTTCGTTAATGCCTGAAAATTTATTTTTTTCTTAAAACGTGGTTGGAAGTATGTGCTGGACCATGGAAAACAATGAGTTGTGTACTTCTTACTTTTGAGACCAGAATCAGTCCCTGCATCTTAGAAGCTGACTGCTCTGTTCTGTTTTTTCCTTATAGATAACTTGATTATGTCATATTCTAAACTTTTATTTTGGAAAGTTATTCAACTTGAAAAAAGAGTGTACCAGACTGTAATATTAAATCCTTTACATTTGTTTATTAAATGTTGTACTTTTAAAAAATACCAAGTGGTATATTAGTACATAAGTTATCTTCCATCCAAATTTCATTCCCTTGCAGTATGATAGATTTGATATTATCTGGACATTTTCTAATGTTTCTGTGACTGCTTCTTTTATAGCCTAGAGACCCTGACTGTCAAGAACACAGAGGTCTGGAGCAGCCTGCAGAGTTGCCGACAGAAGAAGCATGTAATCTCTGCAGTGATTTTAGTGATGATGAATCAGTAGGAAGCTCAAGAATAAAGACTGCTAAAAAGAAAGCCTCTGACTCAAGCAAAGCTTCAGGTCCTCCTGGACAGCTTACCTTACTCCAGTGTGGTTTCTCTAAATTGTTTGAAACAAAATGTAATACAGTTGAGGAAAGTGATGGAAATATTGCCTCTGATGATGAAAGTCCTGATGAACAGCCCATACGTCTTTCAACAGAAGCCAAAGACGTTAGTTATCAGAAAAGTCGTGACTCTCTTGGTACTTCAAAACATCAGAGGTTAGCTAACGTCCTAAATCCAAATGAAAAATATGTCTTTGATAAAAGTCAGAACATTTTAGAACAAAATATTTCTTCTGAGTCTGATGATGGCAACAATTTAAAAAATACAGCTGACCACCATCACATTTTACAGAACGTCACAGAATCAGAAGATAGTGATGTCATCTTTCCCACACAGTATACAACTCAGAGATGCCCCAAGAATGGTGTAAAGTTTAAGCCACTCGTGGATGGATCTGACGGTTCTGAAACAGAACATCCTGTTGAAATAAGAAATAATGGGGATGATAGAAAGACTGATGTCAAAGGAAATAGCCTAATTTCAAAACAATTAAGCCTTGAGAATGTGACCCTGAAATCTATTATGAGAAGAAAAGGCAGTAGTGATATTAGTGACGAGTCTGATGACATTGAAATTTTCTCTGAGTCAAGAGCAAGAAAGCAAAGACCTACTAGTTCTTTGAGGTTTAAGAGAAAAAAGGAAGATAAAAAGGAGCTTCACACTTGTCCTAAAACCATGAAGAAAACAAATCAACTGTATGCAGCAGATGGGGATTGTAGCTCTCAGGCTATCGATGATTTTTCATCCTCAGATGATGATTTAACTGTTTGCCACATCAGTTTCTCTAAACAGAGCCATACACGAAAAACTCTAAAAGATAGGGTCGGTTTCTCTTCAAAATTACCTAGCCATAAGAAAAATAGCACTTTTATGCCAAAACAATCAATGCAATTTTCAAATGAGAGAGTTGTCAATCAAGAGCAAATGTATGAATCAATGGATAAATTTTTAGGTAACTATAGACATTTTGAAAACTTTATGTTACCTATTTGTTTTGTGCAATCAAATACTTCTGGGAAAGTTTCTTAAATTAGCTTGTAAAACAACTCTATAATCAAGATGCTACACTGAGGTGCAAATGAGGACATGGGGGGTGGCAGGATAAAGGGAAGACCACCTAGGTCAAGATAGAGAACTTTGTCATCCACCCCAGGACTCCCTCCATGTGCCCCATCTGAATCACCGTCCCCGTCCCCCCACCAGACTTCATTTAGTTTTGACCTGTAGGTAACTATAAATTTAGTGCTCCTCTTCAGTCCTTCTGTCAGTGTCTCTCCTGTCAATTTCGTCAGAAGCTTATTTTCTAGTAGCTCCCTCAGGAAGTGCTCATGAGAATAATATTCCCTGAGATTCCTGTTGATAACTATTTATGCCCTTTTAAAATTTTTTTTTTCAACGTTTATTTATTTTTGGGACAGAGAGAGACAGAGCATGAATGGGGGAGGGGCAGAGAGAGAGGGAGGCACAGAATCGGAAACAGGCTCCAGGCTCTGAGCCATCAGCCCAGAGCCCGACGCGGGGCTCGAACTCAGGACCGCGAGATCGTAACCTGGCTGAAGTCGGACGCTTAACCGACTGTGCCACCCAGGCGCCCCAATTTATGCCCTTTTATACTTAAAAGTCATTTTTGCCAGATATGAAATCGTTGACTCACACTTTCTTTTTCTGAAGTATTTTAACATGAGGCTTCATTTTCTTTTGCCATGAAGTTTCCTATCACGTCATTTTTCTTCCCCCTTGATACCCAAAGAATTTTTTTCTTTTCATTCTTGCCTAATAAATTTACCAGATTGTGTTTGAATGTTTGTCTTTGTTCAAGTTGCTATAACAAACTACTACAGGCTGGGGGGCTTAAGCATTTATTTCTCATAGTTCTGAAGGCTGGAAGTCCAAGATCTGGATGCCAGCATGGTCAGGTTCTTGGTGAGGGCCCTCATCCTGGTCTAAAGAAGGCTGCTGTGTCCTCACCTAGTGGAGACAGAACTCACCTCTCTTATGTCTCTATTTGCAAGGGCACTAGTCCCATTCATCAGGGCTCCACCTTCATGACCTAATTATCTCCTAAAGACATTCAGACCCTGGCACTGTTGGTTATTCTTGGGTCAAGATTGTCATAATGTAGTTTCAACTCGGGTTTTATATCAGGAAAGCTTTCTTGTACTAGTATTTTTACTTACTTTTTCTGTTCCTTTGCTTTGGCCTTTTGCTTCAGAGACACCTGGTATTCAAATATTCAACTTTCTTTACCTGTTTTCAGTATTTGTCACATTATCTCAAGCCCTTTTTCTTTTCTTTTTTTTTTTTTGTTTCTTTCTGCTTTTTAAAAATACCCTTCCAGGAGAGCCTGGGTGGCGCAGTCGGTTAAGCATCCGACTTCAGCCAGGTCACGATCTCGCGGTCCGGGAGTTCGAGCCCCGCATCAGGCTCTGGGCTGATGGCTCGGAGCCTGGAGCCTGTTTCCGATTCTGTGTCTCCCTCTCTCTCTGCCCCTCCCCTGTTCATGCTCTGTCTCTCTCTGTCCCAAAAATAAAATAAAACGTTGAAAAAAAAATTTAAAAATAAATAAATAAATAAATAAAAAATAAAAATAAAAATACCCTTCCATTCTCTGAAGGCAGTAGTTGTGTTAATTCCCTCTGTGTTCCTTCTAGTTGTCTTCATTTCTGAATTTTTTTTAACTTCTAAATTTTTCCTGAGTCCTGTCACCCATTTCTGAGTTATTCTAATTATGACTTAATGTTGTTGGTTCCTGTGTCTTACCGTTTTCTTAATGTCTGTTACCTGTTTTGAAATTACAATTTTAATCTGCTTTGTGAGCACATGTTTCTGGCATGTTTTCATTCTGCTGCTTATTCTTTTTTCTCTTGTAATAATTTTTATGATATTTGACCCTCTTGCTCATTTTCATAGACAGTATTTTCCCTGAGTTTTTTAAGTGAGGCAGAATTTAGGAAATCTTTTCCAGTTTCACAAAGATCCATAACTGGTTTTTTGTGCAGTGCTCAAAACCGTGGTGGGATTTCCTGCCTCTATCCCTGCCCACTGCTCCGCTCTAGGCCTTCTCTTTCCCCCCTTCCTGATCTTCCTGCCCTGCACATTTTGACTCCCTCCCATCAGTTTTCTTCATTGTGTGGGCCTGACCTGGGAGCCCTGGTGGGTCAGTTTGGGGGTTCCTCAGAGCGAGTTTGCTTCATTCTCTCAGGCCTTCTTTTCATAAGCCCCCTGTACCCACTCAGCTTTAAAGAATGGAAAACCCAGATTCAGCTACTCACAGTAAGTGGCTCACTGTGCTTTCCAGGGAACACCTGCTGGGTGTTCTAGGCTCTCCTATTTTCAAATTCATCACACGCCACCCTGTTGCTTCCTTCACACACACCCTGATGCTGTGCACGGTGTACTATTGGTGGATTGTCCCCATCTATTTGTATTTTAGGGCAAACTATGGAGGGTTATCTTGTCATCTTAGTTCGTTGTATGTGTTGTGCATGGCCTTTTGTTTTGCTGACTCATTGCTGTCCATTCTATGTAGGGATTCAGGGAGATTGAAAAACTGTGTCCCCTGCCACCACCATCTGCTGAGAACCTGTTTAGTCATTTTAAGAGTTAACGCTGCTTTTAAAAGTATCTGACTCATTCCCAAAAACACTATGTGAAAGAAGCTGATATATAAGCAAGGATAGTTTGATGTAAAAACTTTAATCATAGGTATTTGACTTATTTACAAAGCAAGCTTTCTTTTGTGGTTATTCAAAAGTTTGATTTGATATATTTTTTGGTACCCTTGTAACTAAGTACTGGACTGTCCTTTGGTGTGTGTGCTACAATTAGATTTAGGTTTGAGGAATTATTGCAGAAACCATTCTGTAAAAGATCAACTGAGTTTTGTTTTTGTTTTTTACTGTGTAAAAGATGTCAGTAGTGTGGAACTAATGCTATTTTGAATAATGCATAAAACATGTCATCAAAATTAAGAAATCGGAGTAAATATTCTACCAGAAGAATCCTTGAATCCTTCTGGAGTTTTTTAATTGTTGCCATACACGCTACCTGATGTTTTGAAATTTAGGGAGAATTTTATCTTAGTTGCCCTTTTAGCTACCTTATTTAGCAACATCTTGTTTTCTTGTGATTGCCAATTTGGGTTGAGAGAGATTCAAGACTGAAACAGCACAAGTGTTGAAGGTCAAAACTGAGGTTCATTGCCAGGGATGTTTGTAGGAGCCTTTACAGACCTCAGTTCTAGCCTTCTTTTTTAGGACCACAATTTAAAAGTCAGTTATAGGTACCTAGGAGCAAAGCAATAAAAACTGTAGCCATTTTTTAAACTTCTTTCAGATAAAAGCTGTCAGTTAATTTTTTTCATTCCCTAAAAAGCTCCCAATCTTGACATTCTCTGGGCATATGTACAAAAAAGACAGAATACAAAGAGTAAAACTGAACAAAGCCAACCAAATGAAACTCCTGGTCACAAACCTCACTCTTCCACTCCATTGCTAGATAGATGAGGCTAGACTGCTGTTTAAATTAGTAAAAGAATTTTTAAATCAACAGAAACAACAAATCCATAGAGATGACCCTTCACCATGACTTTGCTCTTCACCAAAACCCCTTATTTCAGGTTTAAATCAAAAGATTTTTACCTAATCTCAGAAGTTCTCATATAGATGAGAATGAAAAGTCATTTCTAAGATAACCTAGACCAATATATTAGGACTCTTTCTCTTTTCAATTTTTTTTTTTAAAGAATATTGTGATGTTAACATACTGATTCAGCGTTTTTCTTGAGGATAAAAAATAAAGCATAACCTCTTTTTAGTGGTATTGCTGATAATTTTTAAAATATATGCGCAACCATATTGCTTCACAACGAGACATCACTTAATAAACATCAATTACCTCCTAGATGGCGTTCAGGAAGTGGCTTATATTCACTCAAACCAGAATGTGATTGGATCAAGCAAAGCTGAAAATCACATGAGCCGATGGGCAGCACGTGATGTCTTTGAATTGAAGCAGTTTTCCCAGCTTCCTGCTAACATAGCCGTTTGCACTTCTAAGGTAAGAGAACATAGGGTACAGACATCTTTAGTATTTAATCTCATCTTCATAGAAGTTACTTCATAGGATCTTCTCTAAATACTCCCTCGAAAGTAGCTACTTAGACTATAAGTGACATACAAATAAGTATGAAAAACACCACCATTTGGAGCACTGTAGTCACTAAATTATGTTTTATATTAAAAGGCAAATCTAGGGGTGCCTGGGTGGCTCAGTTGGTCAAACATCCAACTTTGGCTCAGGTCATGATCTTGCAGTTCGTGGGTTCAAGTCCCACGTTGAGTGCTGTGCTGACAGCTCAGAGCCTGGAGCCTCCGTTGGATTCTGTGTCTTCCTCTCTCTCTGCCCCTCCCCTGCTTGCACTCTGCCTCAAAATAAATAAACATTTAAAAAATGTTTTTAAATAAATAATAAAAGGCAAATCTATATCTAAATGCCTAATAATGTTGAATTATCCCCCCAATAAAAGATTGCTAAAAACTGAGAAATCTGAGGGGATCATGCAGTTAAATCAGAACCAAAACCACTTCTGCTCATACAGAAAAAGAGAAGTGTATAATTAGATGCCCTTCAAAGTGTTTCACCCTACATAAAGACACACATGGAAGAACTAGCTGCATACAGAATTTATATTTTTAGCAAAAGGATTCATATAATGTTAAAAGTAATAAATACTTTCTATATGATTTTCTCATTTAAAATTGCTCTTATATAAAAATAAGGCTTTACATAAATGTATTTCATTTACACATAGTCACTTTCATCAAATGTCTGAAAAATATTTTTTTCTCTTTGGCTTGCTGTTCTTTATTTCTAAGCTGAGTATCTGAGGATTAGTTTTTCTACCACTTTACCTGTAGGAGTTAAAAGTGGGTACTGTATGTAACAAGGATACATACTTTGTTTCTAGTTAGTTCTACTTTGAAGAATGAAGGGGTAGGGGAGAATGCCTCTGAACTGTCAAGCTGTCTTTATTTATTTGTTCTTCCTCTGGTTCCACAAAGAATTTGGATTGTCTTAACAATAAAATCAGAATACAAAATGAAATTCAGAACCAAGGAAAATACAAATTAAACTGGAAGTTCAGGACTGAAAGAAAGTTAGAATGCAGATATATAAGACATAGTGTTCTTTACCTAGATATTTTTTTTTTAATGACAAATTTGATCGAGTTTCTTAGTAGACAAAACAAAGGAAGTAAACCATTTAGTGTTTTCTCAACTACTGCATTTGGAAATGTGTGTGGGCACTTTGGGTGGTCACAGTGACTGAGTGCCCGACTGGCATTAATATCTGAAGGCCAGGGATACTAAATGGCTGTTGTGGGTGGGGGAGTGGGAAGGGCCATCCCACATGCCAAGAATTGTTCTGCTCAAAATGCCATAACACCCTGCTGAGAAACACTGAGCTAAATGGTTGTCCTTAAGAAAAAGGGGGGGGGGGGAAGCTAGCTCTTCTAGGGAGAAGGAAAACTCTCTTCCAAGCACTTAATTTGAGGAAATTTGTCACCTGGAATTTTAAATGAGGACATTGAATGATCTAGTGAACAGCCAGTTGTCTTATAATATGCTTGGAGTAAATGTAAATAACAGATTTTGGAAGACCGTGCTTTTAGCATTTTTTATTGTAATCCAAAGGGACAATGCAATGCATGAAGTTATAGTTTCATGACCCAAGTGTGCTGCTTTTTTATATTCTCATTTCATCTAGATACCATTTCTCAACCAACACTGTAGAGAACATTTCTCTACTTTGCCTATCTTGTAGGAACTATCTGAAAAAACTAATCAGCAATATGCTGTGTTTGCCAGAAATTGGCTGTATTAGAGCCAGCAGAATTTCTTAAATAGACAACTGATTTTTTATTAGGGCTTTTTTTTTCAACCATACCTTTTTTTTTTTTTTAATCATGTCCTTATCCAAACAAATTTTAATGTGAAAATGTCACATAATTTGGCAAACCCCTATAGTAGATGTCAATGAAATAATTTAATTGGATATTGGTTGCAGGAGGAATTTTGATAGCTACAATTAGCCTATGGCATGCACTCTACTCAGAATGTCAGAGTTTAAATTCTAGCTCTCTCGCATACTTCCTGTGTGACCATGAGAAAGGGACTTACTTTCTCTGTGCTTCATTTTCTTTGTGTTTAAAATACAAATAATTATACTTATTACCTCAAAAAGTTGCAAAGACTGAGGTAAAAATGCTCTGGACAGTACCTGACACAAAGTAAGCACTCAATGAATAATAAGTATTGTTATTATTACCACTGGATAAGACTAATGTCAGGTCTCGAATTCTCCTGGAAGGTGGGGCTTAATGAGGAAAAATAATCCATAAATAGTTGTATGCAGCCATATTTAATTATAAATTTTAAAAATGGGTGATATTAGCAGATCTGGGGCTTTGGACTCCCTTTAAAAGGAAAACAAGAAGGGCACCTGGGTGGCTCAGTTGGGTAAGCATCTGACTTTGATTCAGGTCATGATCTCACAGCTCATGAGTTTGAGCCCCTCATTGGGCTCTGTGCTGGCAGCTCAGAGCCTGAGCCTGCTTTGGACTCTGTGTCTCCCTCTCTCTCTGCCCTTCTCTCTCCCTCCCTCCCCGCCTCCTCTCTCTCTCTCTCTCTCTCTCTCTCTGTCTCAAAAATAAATAAACATTAAAAAAGTTTTTTAAATAAAAAAAGGAAAAACAAGAATATTCCTGGTAGAATATCTTTCATAATTTTGTATGTGACTACTGAGTTTTTGCTTATGAAAATAGAAAGCTACTCATTACTTTATATTAGTTTATTTTAGATATTCTGTGGTAGAATTGAAGATAATAGTAACTTTTCCATTTAAAGCTGATAGATTATTTTCTGTTTTGATTCTTCAATTGAAGTGACTGCTTTTAATTCAAGATATTGCCATAGCTGCTGACAGACATTCAAATGAGTGAGACATCACTCTGCCATCAGACTAATCCTTTTGCATTAATCTCTGTACATAATATTCTTGGTTCTCCTCATTATAAGTCTTCTGGAAACTAAAGACTACCTCAGTAATGTCAGGGAAATGGAACAATGATAGTATCATTTTTCTCTTTACTAAAACTACTTATAAAGATGGTTAAATTAAGGATTTCTGAAGATACTTTTTAAAAAACACATTATTTTACATATATGAGATATTGACAACATTTCAAAGCCATCTCAGAATTTTTACAAAAAAAAAAAATGTTCACATTCACTGATTTCATCGTATCTGGTGAAAATTACTTCAGCGCCTTTAATGAGTAAGTCAGTGAAACATACCATCATCTTCGATTAGAGATTTGAGTGTCACTCCCAGAGAGGTTTTGCAGCTTGTAGTGTGTGGTGGGTGGCAACAGTGAATTTGCAGTTTTGAAAAAAAATTAAAAATGGTTAAGGAAGGAAAAGAGAATAAGGTAAAGGGAAACAAAGCAAGGTAAAAGCAATAGTGTCAGAAATTATCTGCAAACCTCTTGCTTCTAAAGTCTCCAGAAATCCCCAGACCTCCCACCTACAGTACAGTATCTTTCATCTTAGAGCTCACATCCAGAACCTTTATTACTGAGAATTCTTCTGAGTGCTTCTTGTCTGTCACCAAAGTTTTATTAGAGACCTTTGTTTGTGTTTGAAAAGACTGTGTGTGTGTGTGTGTGTGTGTGCGCGCGCGCGCGCGCGCGCGCGTGTGCGTGTGTGTGTGTGTGTGTGTGTGTGTGTGTGGTCTGTGTGTGTCTGTGTGTGTGTCTGCAGCCAGAGGCAGATATGTTGTCTCGTTTCCTAAGAAAAAGAAAACAAATCCTATTTCTTTGTATGAAGGTAATACGCGATTAGCAAGCGGTCACAATATGCAGATGTTTCACTTTCCAAGGAATACTGTAGTTGAATCCGAGTAAGGGCTTTTAACTAAATTGCAAAGAAATATACTAAATGGAAAAGTTACAAAAGAGAAGTAGTGTATACCACAATCCTTGATAAACTCCTGTGGTCTTCAGAGTTTCTCAGTCCTTTTGATAAAATTATTGATAGCCAAAATGACAAGAGCTCTGAACCTGCTTTTCAAATTCAACCATATATTAAGAAGAGGCCTAAAATACACAGTCTTTTCCATGTTGCCTTTGCTTTCTTATAGTTTATACTTTTATAAATTAATTTCTATTTATGTAACATATTTTATAGATGTCTTGAATGAAAACCTGTCTCCCCTATAATAAATTTCTGATCATACCTTTGTTATTGAGTAATGAAAACTATGTAAGATAAGAACTCGTTTTGCCTTAAATTGTACTTAGATATTTTAGAACCATGTCTGAAGACAGCTTATTTTAAAAGATGAAATGTCTGGTAACAAGAGGGAAAACCTGTATGATTTAGGTCTAACCTCAGACCAGAAAGAAACGCTTTAAGCATTTGAAAGAACTGATAATACCTTTATTAGAGCTAATTTGTTCCTTTAATATATGGAAGTATGTCACAGAATTTAGCTATACCTGTTTGTGATGTGCTGCCTCATTTTTTCAGTCAACTGCATGTTTTCAACTTAAGTATACTTAAAGTTTTCTGAAAAGAAATGTACAAAGACAGCATTCAATTAAGGATTAATCACTATGGCAACTGAGACCTGGTGACTGAGAGGGGGAGGATGTATTCTCACTCAGTTTCCTGCCAGCTGTCATGGTCAACCTCTGCTGCCTGAATCCAAGCCAAAATATAGACTGTGACCAACTCTAAGAAACTATATCTGTATTTTTATAAATTGGTACAAGTATCAGACTATAAAAGAAGACTTAATCCCCTGAATTGGATGACAGACACTTGGCACTCTTGCCAGTGTTTGACAGAGAAATAACGGGTCGCTTTGTAGTAAAACCTGGATTAATAGTAAACCCTTCTTTATGTTATTGCAGTGTGGTGTAAACGAGAGGCCTACGCATGCTGTCGGCCCAGGCCGGAGGGGGGGAGCGTGGGGAAGGTTGCCTTTTATAACCC